TATTTTTTGATTTGGTAGATTAAGTTGACAAATTTTTAGAAAAAAAGTTAACTGAAAACTGGTAAATATTATGCAAACTGAGCTCACTTTTAATGCTATAAATCTCGAGCTTTCCGATCTCATTTGTAACCCAAAAGAATCACTTTGTTGTGTCTTTTTTCATCTTTAGCTGAGATTTGCACTTTTAATGTTTGCTATAAAAATCTCTTCTTCTTTTTCATGATTGTTGTCTCCTCAGTTCTATTTTTTTCTCTCACTCTTGATCTTTTTGCCTAACTTTTCTCACTTTTAATTAAATTGTCAAGCTTTAAAAGCAAATGCATCAATAGACAATCGTTTGTCACCATTTCATTTGTAATCAGCAGAAAAGCGTAAAAAGTACAATAAACTACAAAGTAAAAAGTCAACAGAAAAAAAGTGAAAAACAAAAAAAAGGACAACAACTGATTCTTTTTCATTTTCATCTTTCCACAACTTTACGATTCTCCATGATCAAATTTTGAAGAAAACAAACAAAATTGAGAGTCAAAAACACAACAAAATGAACAAGATGAGATGAAAAATGAAAAGACAATAAATGAAGAGGAAAAGAATTGGAAAATTTTTGGAAAAAATTCTGAAAGAATATTCAATGTGAAGGAAAAAAAGAGAAATCTTTCAATTCTTTAAAATTAACTTTTCTTTTCATCACTTTTCCTCATCATTATTCCGTCTCAAAGTTTACACATCTTGTTATTGATGATAAATAAAAGGGTAAACCTCAAGTGAGTTGATTATTGATCTCGACCCAAAGTTGATCGTGATATTGATTCTGATTCTGAAATTATATTTAATTTAGAAGCGAGAGAAAATCAAAAAGAAAAGAAAATTTTCACCTATTTTTTTCTTCTCTGTTCAATCATTCCAAGTCTCTTCAATAGTACACAAACAAAACTCACGTTTTCTCTTTACCATGAAAACTGAAAAATTTCATCTCTCATGGAAAAGAAGCATTTCTCTCTCTCTCTCTCTCTCTCTCTTTCCTTATGTCATTCAGGAGAGAAAAAGATAAAAAGAAAAAAAGACAAAAAGATATTTATTCCTCAGAGATTTTCTCTTCCAACGACTTAACACACTTTTCCGACTTTAACCCAATTTATCAGTAAATATAAACTCTTTTTGTCTTCATTCTCATATCATCAAATCAACTCGACTACTTTATCATCTTTATCATTCCCTGTCTATTTCCATCATTTTCACTCCCTGTCATCAGCCTTTCCAATCAACTTTTGGACAAATTTTTCTCCCATTCATTCTTTTTCCATTCTTGTTCATCAATTTTTTCCATTGTTTAAAATGATGACAAAAATTGGTCAACTTTGGTCAACTTTTTCCTCTCAACACTCCCTGTGAATGTGTCAACTTTCAAATTTAATAATGTTTTTCCTTTCGTTTGTTCAAAACAAAAACTGTTTTCCTTTCAAATGAACGTTATTACATTTGTCTAGACTTTATCACAAGTTTCAATTTCAACTTGACACTAACAAAATAAACTATCTTTGTAATCTCATAAACTCATTGACAAATTCAATCAGGCAAAGTTCATCTTCAAATTGTATTATCAGTTGATAAATGTTCACATTTGGTTTGCCCCGTAACAAGGTTTGACGAATTCTGAGGCAAAAAATTCTTTTTTTCATGCATTCATAAAATTCCATAAACTTCATATCGAAAATTGAAAATCTCATTATCGAACAAGATGAAATTTCCATGAAAATCGTTTTGAACATTTTCATGCAACTCTGATTTAGACAATTTCAAGTTTACTTTTCGATTTTTTGTCTTACGATTTTAAAATTGAATCCAGAGTAATAGTTGTAAGACCGTTACAGAGTTGCTAAATGATCTTGTTCAGTTTACCAAAATGATTACACAAATGATAACTTGGATAACAATTGGTTAAACTTGACGGTAAAAAGTGTTAAAACCTTCAATTAAGGATAAATGATGAGTGAAATGTTTTTTTTGCTGCAACAAAAAAACGAATATCAAGTCAAATGATATCCATTCCTTGTGTGGTTCAGTTTTTTCATCAAGAATGCTGATGGTTTTCTTTGACTTGATAGATTTTATAAACAGTTAATGATGATTCGTATCCAGATCATCATCATTACCGTCATATTGAGAGAGCAAGGCCAAGATGAAGATGAAGAATAGCAAAGAGAGAAGCAGCAGCAAAAAAAGAAGTGAATCAACAATTTATGCGTTTCATGATTGGTGAGTGGAGAAGAAGAAAAAAAGGTGAAAAATCTATTTTCTTTTCCTTTTTCATCCATCTTTTTGCCATTCTTCCTGTTATCTTCATTTCGATTTTGAATGTTGCTCAAGTTATTTCTCATCAATGAGACTTCATGATATGTATAACACAATGTATTTGCAACTATTTTTTTTTCTTCGCTTCTCAACATCCAATAGCAAAAATGAGAAAAGCTTTTCTCGTTTCTTCTGTTTCTCAAAACTATCAACAAGAGGAAAATGATGATGAACATGAACATGAAGATGAAGTGTGAAAGAAAAGGAAGAAACTGCTCTTTTCTTGTGTAACCATTGATCAGCTGGATTCCAAGGAATCCTTCAAGAGGAAAAAGAAACTGGCAAAAAATATCTTGAAAAAAAAGAGAAGAAGCTTGAGAAGTACAGAAAAAGTGGTAAAAATTCTTGAGGCTGGAAAACACTTTTAGCTTCATTTTTACTTTTACTACTTCATCTTATGAGCTCTTCACAATACAAAACTACATTAGCAGAGTTGATGTAAAAATCCTTTTCCATCTTTTACACATTCTCTTTTTTAGCTCTGGCTTCTTCTTCAGTATCTTTACAGTTTTTACACCAAGTCCTGAGGGTTTTAATCTGAATGAAACTGAATAAAGCAATTTAATAACAATAGTGATTTACTCGTTTCTTTCATTTCTTTTTTTTGTCTGCATAAAAAACAGAGTAAGAATGGGATGCAAGAAAGGAAAAACACAAAAACAGATGAATTGTTGAACAGACAAAAAAAACTTCAAATCTTACACTTGAATGAAAAACATTTTAAACATATTATTTGAGAAGAGGAAAAAAAAGTTTCATTCTTGTCTCAACTTGTTATTTAAACACAAAACAATTGTTATTAATTGTTTGTCTTGTCATAATGATCACAATATTGTGATAAACTATTTTGGGTAAAACTGTTTTGATCAACCTCTTTACATATAAAAACACAAATTTTGAAGCTTTCAATTTCGAGCTCATTTTCATTTTCTTTCAAAATTTTTGAGAAATATGAAGTTTTCAGATTGCAATGAAAACCAAAAGACGATGAACTGGAAAACTTGTAGAGTTAAATCTTAATGTTGTTTTGCAAAACAAGAAAATTGTTTCAACTTGACCGAAATCGGCAAAATGATATTGAGCGAAAATTGTTGATCATTAAAAGATCCATCAGTTTCCATCGATTCCATGAATAAAAAACATCTCAAGATTGAAAGTTATAAGAACGATTATGGCGAGTTGATTGATCATTTTGATTGATGCCAAGGTAAATAGTTTTATATAATTAAGAGCAACATACAACATATCGCAATATTCACCTCATCATTACTCTTTTCTTGCCTTTAATGTGTAAGCATGAAACCATCAACTCTGTTCATAACCATCAATGACTCTTCATAAACTGATCCAATTTCAATCTTCAACTTTAACGAATAGAAGAAAAGCCAAAAAGCAGGGGAAAAATGAGTGCGAAGCTTGATTGTCACCTGACATTGAAAATTCATTCTTTTATTAAAAAGAATTGAAAAATTGTTCTCCTTTGAACGTTTAAAAGTTATGAATACATGAAAAGAAGTGATAACTCGAGGATAGCTTAACGTGTCTAGTTGATGAAAAAAGTAAACCCAAAAAGAGATTTTTGGTTGTAGATCGAAAAATATCGGAAACTTCTAGTTTCCTTGAACCTTCCATCTTGATTGATCAACACGAAAACTGGAAAGACAAAATGAAAGGCAGAATGTAAAAGTAAATACATTTTTCTATTAATAATAATGTATACCTTTCAAGTCTCATTGAGACGGAAATAATTAGTTATACAGTTAACCTTTTCCTTTTATTCCAATGGTTAAACATTTTTCTTCTTCAACTTTTTTCTTTCCTCCATCAAAATTGACTGGGAGTGAGAAATATCATCATCCTCATCATCATGAATAATGTCAATTGAAACAACAGATATTAAACATTGAAAAGATGAGCGAGTTGAGAAGAAGAAGAAAAAGTGTCCTCCAGTGATTTATCTTTAATATTAATAATAATCATTTGATGAGTTGAATGAAGCAAAATTTTCCGTGCAATAATATTGACACAAGTTGGTCCATGACAATGATAATATTCTGGTTATCATCAAATCATCATGTTATCATTCCCTGTTATTATACTCCATCAATTTATTATAATCACTGTTGAATCGCTTCTTTTTTCACCTTTTACTTTTTACTTTTTCTTCTTCTTCTTCCATTTTCGTAGTTCCATTCCAAATGAACACAAATTTATTCATAATGTTGATGCACTTCCACTGCCATAATAAATGCCATTTTGATTATTAACATCATTATCATTTTCATGATTATTTCTTACTTTTTGCCCTTCATCTTTAATAAACTTTTAGCTAATGAATTATCACGCAATTTAACTTCATTTTGCTCTTTTCTCATTCAACTCGCCAATCTTATTTTCATTTCACTTGATGATAAACTAATTGAAGTTGAACGAAAAAATGAATTCAAAAACGAAAAACGAAAAAATTTTGAAAAATAATTTTCGAAGCTAAGGAAAGATGAAACTCGAAAAAAGAGATTCAATGTTTTCAAATGTTTTGATGTTTTTAGTTTTGGCTTGTTACTGCTTCAAAGTTGGTCAATGAATTGAAGAAGATTTTTTAGAGAAACTAAATTTTCGAAACTAATTTTTCTATTTTTCTTCAACAGCTCCAATTGCTCCTGATTTACATGATTTACTCACAGTTAACTCTACCTTTGCTCTCATCAATTTAACCTCTTGGACTTCGGGTGGTTGTCCAATTTTAAATTTCAACGTTCAATACAAGGTGAAACATTCTCGTGAATACATTCTCGTTTCAACCAACATCATTCCCGACCAACGAATGGTAATCCTAAGTGACTTGTCACCAGCTACTTGGTACAACGTGTTCATCACTGCACACAACGAGGCTGGATCAACCGGAGCCGAGTATACATTTGGCACACTAACAGCATCAGGTGAACCCATTCCCTATCCAAGTCAAGAGAACCTAGAAGACTTGGCTCATCAGTTGAAAATTGTGATGCCACTTGCCTCAGCACTGGTCGTCTTGACACTCATTTTGGGAGTGATTTGTGCCATGTTTAAAAAGAGGCAAAACTTTCACGCAAACCAACAAATTCCAGGTAAAGTAGCCAAAGCAAAGCTTCCCAAATTGTCCATCAATTTTGCAAGCAATTATTTTTGATCCATTTTTTGATTGATAAGTCAATATTGACTCTCTTGTTGAAAATTAAAGATGGATGAGAAAGAGTTTTTCCAATTGAATTCAACTGAATCATCATCATGAGTCTGATGAGTTGTTCACTTGCGTGCTTCAAGACAACTTGTCTTTCAAAAACAATATTCATATTCATGTATTACTCTTATGTTCAAAATGAAAAATCTGTTTCACTCTTTACTCTCTTTTCTTCTTCTTCTCTTTCTTATTTTTACTCGAAAAATCTGTCAACTAAACGTTGTTGAAGCACACAATGTTTTGTTGAAACATATTATTAGTAAATTGCTTTCAACTCGACAGAAAACTTGAAGAAGAAGAAAAAAAACTTCCATTTTATTCACTTTCTTGCAAAATTTCATTCTTTGTCTCTTTTAATATAAACTTATTTTTTTCATTTCGTCTCTTCTCTCTTCATCTTCAATCTGTCATTTTTCAACTCTTCAACTTGTTTGCAAACTTTTTGTTTAGTTTGACAAAAAAAGTGGAAACAAAATTGAAACTTAATAACTCGACTCAAATGAATAAATTAGGAAATGAAAATTTGATGAGAAAATTTGGCAAAAGATTAAAACTAAATAAATACTTTTCATTTGCTAATAGTTTGCCATTTCATTAATTTAATATTGATGGAATTGAAGATTAACGTTAAATTTTGATTTCATTTTTAAACTTGGCTTCACTCGTTTGGATCAATGATTTGTTTCATTGGTTCACTGTCCAAGTGAATCTTTAATAAAGTAATAAAAATTTATCAATCTTAGAATTGAAAGACGACAAGGTGCTTAGAGGAGGAAAAAAAGGATAGAAATAATTGGATACTAAAGAAGACGAAAAAAGGTGAAAAGAAAATGAAGAAATGATAAACTTGATGATTGATGAACTTTGTCTGTCCACACGAAACTTCAAAATGTTCACTTGTTTATCATGAACAATGTCAGTGATAATTGTTGAATAGCGTGCCAATAACATGGATAAACTCAACTCTGCTTGTTAAACAATTGAAAAGTGCCAGAAATGACTGCAATATTTCACGATAATTGCAAACATTTATCACCAAACACAGAAAACATTCAAGACTTTTCCAAAAGAGAAAAGTTTCTTTCGCAAATGCCGAGAAATGCATAATGAATAAGCCGAAAAAAATGTGTTTCTGATTTTCGAACACGAAATTTTTTTTTCGATCTTTTCAATTTAAATCTTTTTCTCACTTTCATAATCGATTCTAATCGAGGGTTTCGAGTCATTCTGAGTCAGATAATTGCTTCACTTTCGAGATAATTTTAACCGAACTGGAATTGCATGAAAAGTGTTTATTTCCGAAAAAATAGTTTTTTGCTTTTCAAGTTTTCGCTCAATATCGATGTTTTCATTTTTTCTGATTTCTAAACATTTAGTGTAAAGTTTGGAAAGATTGAGAAGGAAAAGTTTTTTGAGGCAACAAATTCAAAGCATGTTTTTGATTGGTTTCATGATTTGTTCAATTTTCACTTTTCTTCCTTTTCTTCAGTAAATTGCTTCAAATGAATCTTTGTTAACTTTGGACACAACAAAATTTGTGCTGACCTCAGTTGATAATGATAATGGGATCCGATTTGTTGATTCAAGAAAAGAAGAGAAAAAAGTTTCTCTTTTCGCCACCTTTTCTCTCAATTGACACATTTTCTGATGATGAGGTGAAAATTGAATGATTAATGTTTACTCAAATGGATTTGAGATGAAAAAACATTGATATTGAGAAATGGTTTTATTTTTATGTGAAGAAGCAAGCAAAATTTCATACAGGATAACATGTATAATGATGATGATGAAGGTTGAAACAAGGCGCAAGGATAAGAAAAGAATTTATCTCTTGTTTCTTTTTCACTTTTCACATTTTCCTTTTCATGTTCAGGAAAAGAAAGTTTGATTGTGGTCAAGAGCAACACCATTTGTTACACCATCAGGATCAAAAATCGAAATGTGACCTTTTAATCATAGATTATTTAAACTTTTCCCTTTTCTCCAAATTCCCTCCCAATCTGTATCATTAGTATCATGATATTGAACTTGACCAGTGAAAGAAGAGAAACTATTCAAGTTTCGATTCGAAACTTTCAAGTGGAAAAAACAGGAAAAGAAACAAAATTAAATTCTATTCACACTTGGAACAATTTCCATTCCCTGTGAATATAAAGTTTTCTCAATGGTAAAGACGTCATAATCTATCAAGGTGAACAAATTATCTATAAAAATATTCCATTGAAATAGATATTCATGATAAAGAACATGGAATGAAAATCACTTGGTTTGACCTTTTTTTTCCTTCTTTTAATATCAACAAATTCAATTACAAAACTCTATCTGAATCATTCATTGAATTCATTCCAAAATCGTTTTGTTTTCACATTAATAATCTATCAGTATTGGTTCAAAGTTGAATAATTCATTGGATGAATCAAGACTGGAGAAGAAAAAGAAAAGAGAAAAATAAGTAAAAATAAATCTATTCAGATAAATCTGATTCAATTGCAGCAACATGTCAATTGAATTTTTTTCCTTCCCTGAAAACCATGATTAGATTAGAATGCTTGAAATGCAACGAAAAACAACAAAGTTTCAATTTACATCAATTTATTAATTAATAATGTTCACTTTGAATTTGCTTCGCCATGTTCCCCTCGCCATGTTGACCATTCACTTGATAAGTTGAAATTTATTCAATCTCATGAGCCTCATTATTATCATTAAAGTTTCAGTCAATACTTTCAATTGTAAATTGACTGGATCAAATGGTCTGGAAGAGTTTAATGGAGAGCAATTTGAGTTTAAATATCAGGGAAGAAAGGAAAGAGAGAGAAAATGGAAAATCCTTTTTCTTCCTTCTCCAGTTAATGTAATACTTGATGCGTTAAGCCGTTCAACAGATTCAACGAAAATCTCATGAGAAATATTCACTTTTCAACCATTATCCATATTCTTTCAATATCCATGTCCATGAAAAGAAATGCTTAGTTTACAGAATTGAAAAAAAAGGAAGAAAAAGAAAAGAAAGAAGGAAAAATCACTCCCAAGAAACTAAAATTAATATATAAATGCCAACATTTTTTAACCTTTGCATTCTCATTTTCTTGACCCAATATCAATAAGGTGATTAAGTCGGGCAACATTCAAAAGTTTTATCACCTTTCCTTTCATGGCAACGGTAATATAAGTGTAAATTGGAGTAAAAAGTGAAAGAAAAAGCTTTATTTTGCAATTTCTTAAATTTTATTTTTCTTTGTTATCGTTTTATTATTGTTTTCATTATTATCAACCATTATCATTACCATTTGATGAGGCAAAATTTGATGAATCTTGAAATTTTGTTGGTATTTTTTGTTTCGTCCATTAAATGTAATATTTTTTACTCCCAGCTGCCTTTGTTTACTCAGCATTTGTAAGTCGATTAAATTTGAAACATTTTTTTAATAACTCAGCCTCAAGGTGTATCCAACTGAGCATTCAATCGTATGTTTACTTCAAAAGGAAAATGTTATTCAATTAAATCATCTCAAGAGACTTTCACCTTTTGGAAATCATGAAAAGCGGCAATTCCAAAGGTTGTCATTCCACAATAATTTCTAATGAATTGTCAAATTTTCAATAAAAGCTGGGAGTGATTTTTATCAGAACATTTTCACTCCTTGTTATTGGAGTTGAAATGCTAAAACACACTCCAGCTTGGAGGTAAAACAGATTATATATTTATTCAAGATTTTGACTCACAATTCCCCACCGAGTTCTAATTGAAAAATAAAAAATGAAATCTTTTCTATAAAAATCGAAAATAATTATCTTGAAAATTTCATTTCTTTTATTTTGGATATTCAAGTTTTTCCAAACGTTACGAAAGAACGGTAATTCCAAAGACTTTAATTCCCAATAATTTCTGATTTATTTAATTTTACATCTCAAGTTCTATCAGAACTTTTTGACTCCCAGTTCTCGGAGTTAAAATGATAAAATTCACTTCCAGCTTGGAGGTGAAACAGATTAAGAATTAAATATTCAAGATTTCGACTGATATTTCAACGTTGAATTTTAATTGAAAAACTCATTCAACTAGAAAATAAATCTTTCCTCTCAAGTCTTTTATAGATGATAATTTTGGATAATTTTATCGGATAATGATGGAGTTTTTCAAATATTTTGTTGGAAAAGTTTAACTTACTGAGGAAGGCGAAGTTTTGTAAATGCAGGTTTCATGATTATTGTTGTGTTATTAGCATATTAATGTTTCCCGTTATTGGATAAATAATATCAATAGAGCAAGATAGATCAATGTGTTGATAGAGGAAGTGGAAGATGGGTGAAGATTGTCCAGGAAGATACATTTACTTTTATCGTCTTTCTTTTCCAGTTTTACTTATCAGTCTTTTGTGTACCAATATTAAGATTGTTAAAAGCCAATGTCAACAGTAAATACCTTTGGATAGTAAACATACTCACAGTGGACAGATAAATATATTGAACATGAATGAAAAATCCAGTCAAGGATTAGGTTTGACATCAGCTAAGTCAATATTTTCGCTTCGTTTCCATTTCCATCCTCATCATTCCCATCATCAATTTCACCTTTTTAAATGAACATGAACCTCATGAAGGATTTCATTTCAACATTTTTTTTCTCCTCTCACCTTCTTCTTCCATCTTTATGCCATCATCATCATTATCATCTTGTTTCTTTTCCTCCCTGCTTCTCCAAAGTGATGATACTTTCTTTACTTTAACTGACAAGTTTTGAGTTTAAAAATAAAATTTAGCAACTTGTTTCGCTTTCAGTTGCCTGATTTTCAAAAAATATACTCATCATTATCACAGCTAAAGATTTTGTTGGATTGTAAAAGTAAAGACAAAATATTGTTTCTCATTTTGCTTGAATCCAGTTGAGATAAATTGAAACTGACAGTGACAGTGAAAGTTACATGATGAGCTTACTTGAAATTGATTATTAACTTTTCTTGTTTATTCTGTAATTGGTATTAACTCTTGTTTGGTTCCTATTTTTTTCTCTCTCTCTTCCTCTGTTCATCTAATTTGTTGTTGTACTTGATCCATTTGTAGGAGATGGAGTTGCTTGTGATGGCAATAAATCATGTGAATCAATGCCTCTATCTGATTGGGATAATACAGCCAAGAGACATTCACTTCGCAACTCCAACTCGGATGAGCCAACAATGGACTTTTTTGCATCCACCAACAACCTAAAAGGAAACCGTCATCTAACCGGAGTCGGAGTCACAACCGGAGGAACACTGATTCCCAATACAACATCAACAGGGTCAACAGCCAACGAGTCAATCTACTTTCCATCTCCGTATGCCTTAAGTCGTATATCAGCCTATGAAAGGAGCTTAAACAATGAAGGAAGGTCTCACCCTCAGCATCATTTGATAGTCAATGGTGCGCCTAACTCACACACTTATGATGTTCCTCATAAAAAGGTTAATCTTTTTTCCTCTAAAATCTAATTAAGCCTCCTGAATAACCTCATCATCATCATCTTCATCTTCATTATGTTTTTTTGCGTAAAATATTCGAAATGTAGATTTGAATTTTTTCCTTTTGCATCTCGCTCTCTTCATAAACCATTAAGTTGATTATGTTTTGATAATTCATTATTGTTTATCTATAATTTTTCTTGATCTTTTTTTCACAACTTTAATAAATCATTTTCACCTTCATCGCCATAAACTATTGATATTATCATTATCTATGTAAAATATTGTTCCAACTCGCCATCATTTTTCTTGTTTCACATTTTTTCCTCTTCACCCTTTTCACTGTACATTATCTTGCCAATGAACTTTTTTTCCCTTTTACCAACCATTCGCAGCGTTGAGTAAAATTACAGAAAAAAATGTGTTGATGCACAAATTAATATTAATATAACTCAACTGTTTACTCTTCATCATTTGTTTTTTTTTCTCTTTCAAATTTTTGAACAAAATTCTATTCGAAATACCATGCTCTTTCAATTCTCCCAATTCAACATTCTCTTGATTTATCATCTTGCAACTTTCTTTCTTCTTTTTTCTCTTCCTCTCCACTCGACATGACGAGGAATGAATGCATGTGAATAAAAACACAAACACACAATTAACAGATTGATGTTCATCAATCTTGAATAGGAACATTTTAAGAAAAAAAGAAGAAAAAAGTTTCATCCATTTTCCCTCTTGAATCAAGTTTAACAAAGATAATGATTGACAATAAAAGTATTAATATCCCAAGATGAATTAAGAAATTCATGAAAAACATGAATGATAACCAAATGATTGGAAAAAGAATACAGAGATGAAAAAATGAAAAAAAACTAACAATAGTGATAAATGTTTTGCTCTTTCAACCTTTCGATTCCTCAACTAACCTCCATCACAATACAGCTAATCGAGCTAATCATTTTCACTTTCATCCCATCATCATCATCATAATCATTCCCATTCTTAACCTCATCCTTATCATTTTCATCGTCCAATTTTCATTATCTTTATCCTCTTCATTTGTCACAATCATACATTATCAACTCATTCTATTGAACGGACATTGACCAATTAATTTTGTCCCCATTTCTCATTCCATTCACTTTTACCTTTTACTATACAGTGCCTCATCAATCCAGGGAATCCTAATCATGGAACGTATTGGGACAAAATAAATCCCCGGAACATTGTCTAATCGATTTAACCAGCTCATAAATGAAGCTCATCAGCCAACAATCCAACTCACCTTCACTACTCGTTATCATTTCCATCATTCCCTGTTACTCCATCAGCATCATTTTTATACACTATTTTTGTTACTCGCCATCCAATCCCTGTATATCATTACTTCCCAGTAAACATGAAACAACATATTCAACTTGTTATTTACCTTTAACTCTGTTTTTCTGTTCATATCATTGTTACTATTATTATCAACAACAATAATACAATTGCCAGAGCTTATTATTACTATTTTTGCTTCCATCTTCTCCTTCATTATTATCATCATTATTACGCTCATCATCATCATGATGAAAATATTTTTTTTTCCTTCTTTTGCTTCACAACCAGAATTTTCCTCTTTCATTTCCATTCCAAATGATTGTCTTAATGATTCCAACCTTTTCTTTCCGTTTCTTGCTTTTCTCATTTAACCAAATTTATCTTGTCAATAAACAAATTTTCACCTTGACCAGGCTGTTCAGTTTCAATCTTTTTCATTTTCCTTTTTTTTCCAAATGTTGAAATGTTTTTCTTTGTTCATTCACTCCCTGTTCAAATGTTGAATGCTTGTTCGACAAATGACAAGATTACATCAACAACAACTTCTCCGTAGGCTATTCAACACTAGTAATGACAATCAATATCTGATCAAGTTTAGTCTCAACATCAATGTTTATCTTTATTTTCATTATCGATATGATTCAGTTTTGCCAGAAAAAAATTCAATGAAAAAACTTTTTTCTTTCTTCGACTTTTCCTAATCAGTTTAACACTTTTTTTGCAAACAGTGCTCAGGGTGAATCCATATTGAATTATACAATTGAGTAAATGAACAAATTGAAAAAGTGAAACTATTCAATTGAATCATTTTTGACACAAAAAGGAAAAGTTGAATTCATCAAGCTGGGAGTGAATATTGAATAAACTTTTGTGACTTGAAATTGTTTCGATTTTATTGATGAACAAAATGAACTTTTTTTTATTGCAACTCATTCATCTATTTCACCATTTCCTTGGTGGTTACAGGTTCACCTTTTCCTTCTATACATCATCATTTTCATCTCAATCAAATGATGAACTTGATCGCCTGCGGGTAAGAATGAGATTAATCCAGAGTAAAGTAGAAAAGTGAAGGAAAAGCTAAGGCGATGGGGAGAAAAGAAAAGCCATGAGAATCTTTTCAAGGATGAAAATTGTATTCTTATTCTATCTGTTATTCTACTTGATTCAAACACATTTCACTCCCAGTTAGGCACAAAATTTTCAACTCCCAAGTACAGGCCATCAATTTTGACCTATCAAAGTTATCATTTGATTCTCGGTCATTCCCTTCAACTGGATTCCTGTTGTATCCTTGAATACCCTTAGAGGATGTTAAATATTGTTGCTTAAAGATGAGAAAAGAAAGAGAAATAAATGTAATAATAATATCAGACAGTAAAAGTAATAATAATAATAGAAGAAGAACTTTTTTTTTCTTTTTTCTCGTGTCCATAAAAGATATAATAATGATGATAGTAATGATATTATTTATTATTAACTTTTCTGTTCCTCCCAATCTGTTAACTTGTTTTGTTTCTGTAACTCGAATCATTAATAATAACAATAACTAACCAATTGATGATAAAATTATCAAGAAAATTGAAAGCTATCTTTATGAGAAAATTCAATCATCACGATAGCGATAATTACATTTTAAACATATAATCGCTAATAAAAAATGACGAGTGCAGATTTCATGTTGAGCGACAGTTGAAGTAATAGAGCAACTAATAGAGCCTTCACGGAAACAGCTCAGCTTTGCTTTCTTAATTTAGGGTTTTCTTTGTGTGGTTAAAGCGTAAACTTCGTTATAGAGTGAAATCAATTTTTAAAATTCGAGACTAATCGATTCGGATTGAGGCAACATTACTAAAACTGGAGTAAAATCTCACATCAAGTTTTGTGTGCATATTTTGCACAAGTATATACGTGAAGGTAGATACGTCAATGATCCTAGTCAATGCGTTAATAAGTTAATGGTTCACCTACGGAACTTTGGTATGACTTTTAGATCCTGGATGATCAAGTTTGAGCATCTTTCCAGCACAATCCAACCAAAAGTTTTTTAGGAGTTTGAAACTTATCTGACATCTATTGTCATCTGTTAGCAATAAGGCAATATTTTGAAAATGAAGACTTTGATTCCTAATTTTTTCAAAGATTTATAGATAGGCAAGCCTCAGAAAATTACATGAAAATAATATGATAACTGAATGTTGATTACAAGTATTTGCTCGATTTTAACTATTGGCTGGATACAGTTTAGGGTCGAGTTTTATTTTGTTGAATTTCATGCGATTATTGCATAGAGATGAATATTGATGCTCAGCATCTCACAATATTTGTGTATTTTTTGCAATTGACAGCATGCACTGTTGATGTGACTTGAGTTGCTTCCGCAAAAAATTAATCGTGTCCATGAGAAAGGTTTTAATTGAACGACTGAATTTTCTCATTACAATCTATATTTGATTTGAACTTAATTCCTCGGTTGTAATATTGATAAACTGATCAATAAAATAAAAATATGGTCTTCTAGTCACATAGGCATGATTAATGCTTTGGTTTTAGATGCTATCAATTTATTATTAATATATCACACTAATGTCATGAACAATTTCATTGGATTTCATTTATTGATGAATTTTGAAGGAAAATTATCGAAGGATTTTCAATGATTGAACCCAAATATCTAAGTCTTTCTAATAGTTATTCAATTGTTAGCAAGATTGTTTGGTTATAATGAAAAGTCAGGTTCATTCATTTTTTCTTTGCAGCAAAAAACTGAAAAAAAATTCTGCTTTCAACCTTTTCTATTGTTGATCTTTAATAGCTGAAAAGTAAATGATGATCCAGGTGCAAGATGATGAAGTGTTGATGGGTTGATGATGTGAAATTATTTTAATGATGATGATGGGTCACAGGTTTAAGCTGTTGCAAGATCAGCAAGAACTCAAGTTTGAGTTGAAAAGTTGATTAAACAATTAAAATGATTAAATGTGTACATTTTTGAATTACTTGGCTTTTGCTTTGACTTGTGCAAAGTTGACTTTTTTGCACTTTACATTTCAAATAATTGATAGTCTATGCAAATGTAAGAGCATCCATAATATTTCATAATGAAAGGTAAACATTCATTAATATTTGTTTCCTTTATTCACCTTGACATGGAATGATAATCAATCAAACTTGCTGGTAAATAATAAATCAGTTTGAATCCATTGAAATAATAGCAATCGTTGCACATTTATTGACCTTAAATAATAAATGTTGAACCAATAATAGATGATGATGGCGATAGTAATAATCTGGGGAAAAGTGTGAACAGCTAAAATTAGTTTGCTGTGATTATATTAATAAATTGTCTTCACTTTTATCCTATTGGTACAAGATTAACTCTGACTTTATTAAAAGCATTGGTTTAGTTCAAGTAGAGTCAGGGAATCAAATTTACATTTAATTTACTGTAGTTAATGATTTAAGGCTCAAGTGGGACTTGATTGTGTTCTTGAACATTGGTTAAGCAGCAATTCTTAAGTAAGAAAATGTGACTTTCAATTGTTTTCAAGAAATCTATTGAATCAAATTGTCCACAATTTAAGGTTGATAAAACACATCACGAGATGGAGCTATCATTTGTGTTTTTGACGTTTTTTTAAAAATTGATAAACGCCAATTTGTTTTAATGAATCTCAATGGTTTTGATTTACTCTAGTTTTAATGCTTATTATTGTGGTTAACGCTTGATTGTAGTGTGAGGATTGGCATAATGATGTTCTTTGTGTAATTAGCTTTAGAATGGTATTATTAGCTGAAAGTTTATCATGATAACGAAAAACAAAAGATTTCTGTGTCTGTAGGCTTCTCACATTTTTTATTTTTCCTATTGAATCGTCTTATTTACCATCGTTTTTAACTTTAATCTCAATTTTAAAGACATTTACTCAATGGTATCAAAATATTTTCAATGCAATTCATGGTATAAAAATATTTAACGGCTTGTGAAAATATTCATTCATTATCAATGATACGCCCGTATTGCTTTCGTTTAAGAAATTTTTTCAATAGCTCGTTCTGTGTTGTTTACTGATTTGATACTAAAGTATATTGTAATATAATAGTCGTAATTGATGATTGGAATGATGTTACCGATAAAGATCAGTTTCTATCAACATTGAATTAACGGTTTTCTTATTTTTTAATTTAACTGCCAATTTCGATGGTAGCTATCTTCATCACTAGATGGCGTACCATCATTTTATACAGTAATCTTGTTTTAATTTACCGGTCATTTTAGATGGTTAATCATTTCAAATTGTTAATTTGCGATTTACAAACAACGATTCATTGACTTTTAAATTAGTTTTTATAAGTAAGATGATTTAACTGGGAAAATCGATTTTGATTAATGGACAAGAGTTTACCGTCATTATCTGAGCCTTGAGATTCGATTAGGTTCGATGACGGTTCTACGGGTTGAGTTCATTTGGCGACTTAAAATGGTAAGTTTCTGATCAACCCAATTATTCATTAATCTATTTTAATCAGTTATTGATCAATGTTTTCTAGGTGAGCTCAATGATTATTTATAGCATCTTTTGTATAGTTGTTTGTTCGTTTTAACCTTGTCTTTTGAATCCTTTTAACCCATCACAGGTATTTCAATTGGATTGATAGTGAAATTGGTTGGAATGAACTTTACTTGGCTTATTTGTTGGTGGCTCAATGGTTACAATAGACTGATCTTTATCAAAGCAATGTTGAGCTTTACTGTATTTTTTGGTCCTTGCTGTTGTCTTCGTCAATTGACTATTCAAATGGCTCATCACTGACTTGAAGTTGATTAAATGGTTTCACTATCTTCAACGGTTCAAGGGTTCAATTGTAAAGGCTTCTTGTTGGCCGTTAAATAGATAATTGTTATTACTGAAAAAGGAATAATATATCACCCTGTTTTCAGCTTCTTTTAGGATATAAAACAATCGGTTGAATTAGTATCAAGCCAAAAGATGAGATACAAGTCTAAAATAACTTGGTTTGAAACAGCCGTAACCTCATGGTTATTGAAACTAATTTGATTTCAATTGCAATATCTTAAGCTGTTTAATTGCGTCAATATCATTCCATGGTACAACGGACATTAACAATTGATAAAGATTGAAAAAGATGCTACACATCTTGAGGTTATATCCAGTTGAAAATCTGTTAAAACGATCGATGATTAGTGAAACGACCTGTAATTATTCATTATCTTATGGGCACCATCGATGCATAAACCAACTTTAACTTGATAAATAGATAATGGACAATTATGTTTTGTTTTAATCTGTTTACTCTGTTATCTTCTAAACCATCGGTCAAGGATGATTTAATCGAAACCTTTCAGATTAAAGAAACCAAAGAATATTTTGCAAGTTTGGAACTAATGCTCAGGATAAACGTAATTTCGTATCAAGATATTACATTTGGATTATAGAATCAAGAAAGTAAAGAATTCTGGTTAATCTAAAAAGACCTGATTGACTGAGTGAGGTGAAAAAATGGCTCTCTATTGGAAGACAGTGGCAAGATTGATTGTAAAGTAACACTAAAATAAAGGCTTTAATGATGCAAAAATAATTTTCATGGGTGAACAACGCTGAATACCGATTGGCATGAAGGTTCGATATTTGTTTTACAAACAAAGGCAATAACGAGAAATTCAGTTTAATCTGTAATAACAACAATCTCCAACGATCCAAGAATGAATTATAATTAGGATTAACAGCAAAAATGCCAAGCTACAAATTTTCACAAATAGTATTGTCTTCATCATTATTGTTCATCATTCTTTAGCCAATGGATCCTGTTGTCTTTGCCTCCTGTTTTTCAATCCAAGGAATTAGATTGAAATTGAATATATTTCAATAGATGATATAATTCTCAAGAATAATATAAAGATGAAAATAACCATCCATCCAGCAATTATCAAAGTGTAAATTGTTATCAAAGTTTGTTTCGTTTTCCAATGGATGAACTAACAATACAATAATGTGTGTTGGCATATCTTGTTGAGTCCTACTTCATATGATGATGGTCCAATTGGAATGAAATTAAATCAGTGAGATGCTTTATTTTTGAATGACTACTCAAGATCCAGAGGATAACCCTTTTTTGGTCAAAGTTGCATAATTACTTCCAGGACTGACCAGAGTCCAATCACCGACAACGAGGAGGCCATCGATGGATCTATTCAGTGTGGTAGAAACCGTACTCTGTAGATAAATTATTGGAATATTGTTTGTGTTTTTCTTTAAATTTACAAAAAGGTTAGCAGCTAGCAAGATCAATCAAATATCAGTGAATTTATTGTTTTAAACTGTAAATTTGTGAATTTGATAACAATTTTAGAAACCAAAAATACAGGTTTTCTTCTCATTTTAAATGATATTTCATCCTAAAATTCAAACATTTATTTCAGTAATTGCTATAACCTGCCAAACAAAACCAATCATTTTTCATGGCAAATGATCGGCTGGAAAGGAAATGGAAACAATATTAATGGTAAAAACTTTGTTTAAATTCGTTTCTTTATGATCAAATTACATTAGTTCAACAAATTGATTAATCTTGTAATACTCGTCTTTCTGCTTTAATTTGAAATTTAACAGATTAATGGCAATCACGACAACAAACCTTGTTAATGGGTCGCTGAGTCCGAGTAAAGTGACTTGATGTTACCGGAAGAGGTTCACTTGGTGGACAAGTGTTGACTCCTGTTGATCCACCGTTACCAACATTGTTATTACTTAAATTAACCTGAGGTTCAACCCACTCCGTTGATCGTTGTGGCAGTCTCGTTGTTCCTGGTAAGGTTGGTCTTCGATACATAATGAACAAGGCAACTCCTGAACAATAAATGAGAAGAAAAGACAAAAAGAGGTGAAAAATTTAAAGATTAACCGATAATCTGTTGATCAAAAAGAGACACACTTTTGTTTAATTATAAATTATAATTACACCCAGATGAAGTTAACCATGGTTTTTGGATGGATAATCAGAGAATATCCTATTTTGTTTTGATAAAATATTGCTATAGAACCATAACAGGTCAAATTGTTACCTAAATTTTGCCGTTACCGGAACAAAACTTTACTGAATGTCATGAACTAAATGATTTTCTTTGTGATAACAAATCTAACTCTCTCTTCTTTCTCTTTCTTTCTTCTTCTCTCTCTCCTAATCTTCTTGCTTTCTCAGAATAGGGCTCATTATGGTTCCTCAGAATGAATTTTGATTCAACAAAACAATTTTCAGGTTACAACGAAACGCTTTAATGATTTGGTGGTAACTAACCAAGTTGATGGAATACTTTCGCACAAACAACTCACTGCTATTCAAATTGACTGCTAAAAATGAGACAAAACAATTAGCCTTGCTTACTGAATCCATCTTGTCGGTCATCTTTACAAACATTGGGTCCACACAATTAACCCAACCCGCTGTTTACTCAGCTAATTGAAAGAGCAAATAATCTAAGTGGAAATTAAAGGAGCGCAAAAAGGTTGACCAAAATTGAGCAAAAATTCAACATTAAATGTCCATAAATTGTTATCTCACAATTTAACCAAGATTAGCTCATTGTTGCCTTTTACCCTTAAACTAACCTTTCATTTATCCATATATTATGGAAGCAAAAATTGGGTTTCATTCAAATTTTGGGTTCAATGTTTCACTTTTCATAAGCACACTTAATCCATGATTGGTTGAAAAGATTGATTAAAATCTGCAATCAACTACAATTTGGTAAAATTATGGCAATAAACATTATTAGTATATTTTGTTTGATCGCCATTGTGTTGGTCATTATTATTGCTTTTATTGTTATTTTTATTTTGTTCTTGTTTTTTTTTCTTTTGCTCTTGTTGACCGTTTGAAAAGTCAAACTTATGAGAAAAGGATGAACAGTTTAAAGCAACTACAGTTAATACAGATGATTGTGTTATTATTAGATTGTTAAGTATATAAATGGTGAATCAAATCTACCGATGATTGGCCTAATTGTCTGATAACTTGTGATTGACGTGATCTTTATATACATTTTGTTTTTTTACCGTTTACCAATCACTAAAAATGGGCTTCTTAACTTTTACTGCCAAGGTTAGCTGAAGAATCATTTCTTCCTTATTTTTGGTAACATTTAAGTCAATCAAGTTTTTCAATTTTTGGCCCTTTTTATTATACAATATATCATGCAAAAAGGGAATAAAATAAATTTCTGCTCAACAGTTCTGGTTGGTAAAGGAAAAACAATGTTCTTGAGATGAAAAATTAGGAATTGAAGATGAAAACATGTCAATATGTTAACAAGATGTTAACAAATACAAAAACATGTTTTACTGTTGAAATAAGATACTAAATTAAACATGAAAACGGGTTAATTAGATCACCAACAATCGTGGTTTACAATTAGCCTTTTGTTTCCATTTGATTTGATCTAGAAATAATAATAAATAAAAGCAAAAGAAACAATCAGTTGAACCAGTAAAATTCAATGTTATTACCAAATTTATAAATTCATTGTTGATTAGCTTTAAAAATACCTTCAATTGTATCCTAAATTTTCATCTGAACTTGATCTTTCATTTCTGTCAATTGAACACTTGATTTAACATTCAAATCAATTGTTAACTTTGACAATTTGTTTCCATTCGCACTTTCAAGCGGACTATTGAAGAGTCGATTGCCACCAATACTGAAAATAAGAGTTAATTAAATAACGATTGCTCATCTTAATGAACACACTTTGACATAATCAAGTATTTACCTTAAACCAGGAACTAACCATTGATTAAGTGAAAAGTGCATTTGTTTGCAAGCTGTTGGTTAATTTAGTGATTTGTTTGATTCACTTGATTTTGTTTGCTGCTTGCTGTGATTAATATTTAGTCTTTCAAGTTGGTTAAAGCAAACCTTTAACTACAATTAGTTACATTTATGTAAATTGGCCAGAGAAAGGAAGAAGAAATGTTTCCATTTCAATTTCAACTGTTGCCTGGTTTGAAATTAACACTTAAACTGGACTCAAACAGTCGGCGCTCGTTTCAATTTGATTATTGTTTTAGTTTAATATTTTCATTTTGATTGCTATTGAAGCTGTTGATGATTGAAGCAGCACAATGAGTTATCAATTCAATTGTATTGGTTAATTGTTAACGGTAGGCGAAGAAAAAAACTTCACTATCATTTGAATCTAAAAAAGTGAACTTTCTCTCTCTTCAATTTACATAATTTAGTTCAGGCTTTTCAATTACAATTGAATCTATTTTTTTTATGGTTTTTGTTGTTGTTCAACTTATTAATCTTCTGAATCATCATGAAAAACAGGTTGATTATTGTTGTTAATTCAGATTAATTTCAGTTGAAAGGAAAAAGTAAATTAACAAGATTCGCTTAATAGTTTTTCATTTATCAACTCACAATCAACTCATTGGGATGAAACATGGTAAATCATTGATATGTTGCACTGAACATTATTGTCATTGAATAGTAAACCTAAAAAAATGTTATTATCCTTTTAATCATTAAACTGGTAAGGAATAAGAGGATCTTCAATCCAATTGTATCCGTAATATGAATCAACTAGATTCAAGATTCATCTTTTGGGTTAAGAGTCTCTAGATTGTAATTCAATGTTAACTGATATTTTCATTGTTAACCTGGAACATTTTGTTGATCCAATTTAAGAAAATCTCATTAACTAACAATTAGTTGAATTTTATCAATTGGGATTCATTGAGTGAGGAAATAATTGAGTTACAGAAATATGATCTTGAAAGTGTTAGTTGATCATTTTGTGTTTGCTTAAAAATTGGTGTAACTTGGGTTTACTTTACTCATCTGGTTGATGTTGTTGGACCGTTTGGACAGTTGATGGTTAAATATTAGCTATTTAATGGTTATGATAATGATTATGATTGTAGTTAAATGATGCGATTGTCAAGGCTTAATTGCAACTATCATCATTATCAGTCAGTTGAGTCACTTTGATAGCATCATTTAAAGAAGTCAATTTAGGCTAATCCATTGACTTTGTTGCTTCTGCTTGTTGATCGCATTATTTAAACTACTTTTTCATATCAACATTGATGGTCAGGTTTGATGATGATTAAGCTTCAAGATTTAACAATGACGATTAACAATTAATCGATAATGATGTAACAAGAATCAAAATCGTGATTATAATGGCTCTTGAAATGGTGATTTCAATCTAAATGAAACGCGTTATTTGAAGATGATTTTTTGTAAAGATTTATGTGAAAACAATCAACAATGATCCAGTAACATTTAAGTTGATTATAATAGATTAATTAGTTTGGATGAAGAAAGAAAAGGTTGAAAAGTTAATCACAATTCATCATTTTTGAAACAACAATGAGAATATTTAATTGCGATTTTCGCTTTCAAATTGGCTAAAGACAAAAAATTGAAAGTTGCTCTTGCTAACACTATTCATTGTTAATCTATTATGGTTAAATCTTGATTCATTTTCGGGTTTTCATGCAAAAATTGAAGAATATTGTTGATGGCAAGGTTAACAATTAACCGTTTAATGGTGAGGCTACAATTTTGATAAGAAAAGGATGAATGGTCAACATTCAGGTCACGAAATGGGATATTTGTCAACATCACTCCAAACCAACATTAACTGGTGTTTATTGTAATTTTAATTTGGATTATAATGCCATTTTAGGCTCTTACCTGCGAGTAAAGCCACAAATACTAGCGAACCGATAATTATTCCAGCAATTGCGGTAGCACTTAAACTTCTTTCAGAAATTTCATTTCTTTTTGTTATATTTGAATCAAGTTGTTTATTAAGCCTTTTATTTGATGAACTGGCCGCTATGTTATTTGATTTACTAGATGAAGATGATGATGAAGATGATGAACGACTTGGAGATGTTGAGCTAATATAAGGAGTTGGTGGAGTCGGTAAAACTCTTCCAAGTCCATTGGTCCAAGGAGTTGTTGCTAAATCACGATTCCTTGAAGACCTTGGTGGTGGCGGAATATAAGTAGTTGTTCCTGGTCCAATTGATCGACCCAGACCAAAGTTTTCTAATGAAGGCGATGGTGGTGGCGGTGGAGGTGGAGGAGGTGGTGGAGGAGGATGGGGTTGATGGTGAAGTAATCTTGGATCGTCTGTTGGCTGGTATAAGCCATCGCGACTTGATGGTAGGTAAGGTGAATGAGAGTAGGAAGGTAATGGTGTTGGTTTGTATGGATTCTTGTAGACCATCTCGGTAACCACTGTCATATCACCGTTGGGCGATGTAATTGTGTGACGAGACACTTCAACTGGTAGTGTTTTTGGTGCAGATAATGTGTTGGGTGAGTTTGATGAAGAAGTTGAAGATGAAAATGCTGATCGACCAGTAATTATCTCTGATTTTTCCAAAAGTGTCTCGATATCTTTGGCTTCACCAGAAGTCAACTCTTTACGTTCATTTGAAGGGCCATCTTTTGAGGAACGATTGTTTACATTATCATCATCAAATTCAACTGGTTTGTCATTGTTATGATTATTGTTATTATTGTTGTTGTTTTTAGATGGTAATGGATCAGGATTTTTGGCAACATTATCCAATCCACTTGATGAACCTTCCAATTGTTTACCATCTTTATTTGATGTTGAAGGCTTCTTGCTATTTAACCAAGCATTAGTATTTTCATTATTGTACTTGTGATCATGATGATTATATCCTCTTGATCGCTGGTTCTCCCGCCATTTCCTCACCTTTTCCTGGAACGAGTCTTCATCATCATAATCATAATAACCATCATCGGCATAGTTGTTGACAAAGTCATAGATGTGAACCTGATCAGCTGGAATGAACAAACCAGAAGGCAATGGTTCTGGAACAGGATCAGAATGATGATGACGAGGATCAGCAGCTACTGCAGCTATTGGTGACATACGACTAAATGGATGAGGATGGTGAGCAGGGTGAGGATGAGTTTCTGATGAAGCTGGCCATGAGATTGGATAAGGGTGAACATGGTGAATTGGTAAAGATGGTAATGGCCAGCAAATGATCAAGTGTTCAGCTAATTTGTAAGCAAATAGAAACCATTTAACCCAAGTCCATTTCATATTTGAAAACTGACAATAGTGATGGCTGTTGTTGTGCAAAAATAAATGCTTAAACACAAACACAGAAACAAAATTGAAGTAAATATTGAAATCACAAGAATCACCGATGAATTAACTTCATGATTAGAGGATAAATACGGTTGGAAATATTAAGAAAGTTTAGGAACAATTGGAGGAGATTTCACATGATTGGTAAGGTCCATTAGTGAATAAAACTGTGATCAAAGAAAATGTAATGTTGAACAATTTAAGGTTGAAGTTAATCTTTGTGTGATGGTAAAGTTGAAATCATCTTAATTTGTTAATCCAGATTTAGTTTAACTACTGAATGGTTCGAAGAAGGTTAAAGTGAATCAAATGTTCGTTACAAGTTCGCTTCAACGGTAAAAATGAAATGTTTACCTGACAAGAATGAGACTTTACCGTACGGTCTAAGCTAACCTCATTTCCACGCCTCCCCTTCAGACTACAAAGAGAGACTTGAGGTGAAAAGAAGATAATGATAAAGAAGAACAACAAGCTGAACAGAAAGAATAAGAGAAACCCTTTCACATTAACCACCTTCGTACCTTCCCAAAAGGAAAAGTTCAGCACCACCAAATTAACCAGCCTTGATTTGCCTTTGGAAATGACAATTTGTTTCACATCGCCATTTTACAATTTAACCCAGAAAATGAAGAAGCGCCAAAACAGAGAGCACATTGTTTAAGCTCTACTCATCGGGTCAATATTTGGTAATGCATGTTACAATTTTAATTTTTTATTCTCGTCCTTTCTCTCAACCTAAAATATGTTAATTTTTGTATAATGTGTTTAATTAATTCATGTAAGCTGAAAATCTTCTTGGTCAACTGGTATACCAACTGTGTAAAATGTCTACGGAGCTTCAAGATTTTCAATTTGTTGCCTTTTGACCTGGAAATCAAATTGGGGATATCAGTTAATTTGTCTATACACTGATTTGTAAGTATGCCTTTGCCAACCCATCTTTAATTATTTGTATATTCAAGAAATATCTTTTGAATTTAAACTTGCCATTATTCAAGATCTTCTTCAACCATTTACATGATTATCAATCTATTCACAAAATGCTGCAAATTGGTGTTAATTTTTGTTCTTTTTACTCTTCTTCTTCTTGTTTTTCTCGCTTTGTTATGTGATACTAATTAATCTTTTGTTTTATGTCTTTTTCAAATCATCAGACGCTGTTCAAGACGAAATCAAGAAAACTTCCTCAATTTCAACTAGCCACCAATTCAAAGGCCTGGTTTTGGTAAACTCGAGATCAAATGACATTTTCGTTTTTGTCTAAAACCATTTAGGCAACAAAGATAATCCAATGTTTACAATCAATGATTCGCTCTAGCGGTTAAACAAGACTCATTATGGTCAATTGATTATAGTTAACTAACCCAAAAAGCTAATTAATGTTTGTATTGAATCTAATTCAATTATGACAGGTAGTTTTATAAAGACAGATAAACAAACAACAATATTTTATGAGAAATGGAACGGATTTTACATTCATTTTATGTTTGTAACAATATTGCATTCAACCAGACAAATCGATATCTATTTCGATTCATGTTTTCCAATGATCCTGAAAACGATAATGGTAATTATTAATGAACATGAGAAAATTAGAAAGCAATGACAAACCATAGAATCGACCTCTAATTTATGATTGATTTTAGGTAATTGAAATATTGATTCAATGCGTTTTTTAAATCATAATGTTAAAAGTAAGTTCAATGAACAAGTCATCATGTTTCATCTCAATTTGAATTTTTTATTTTGCAGATTGGATCTACGCTTAACCTAAACTGGCAAGAATCTGTTCCTTTCATCAAATGACGTGATAATGGTTTAACATTTTATTTAATCAGAAAAGCAAATTTTTAATCAAAAGTGAGATTAATAAGCATAACAACATAAAGAGCACTAGACTGTTACAATTTAAATGTCATCTTAATCGTAAGCAGTTAAAGGTCAGTGAGCAAATAATCAAGCTAGATTGGAGCAGCTATCAAAGAAGGGATTAAAAATAATGGACCTTTCAGTTTTGTCCGTTAACATTTTTTAATTGCTTTAAATGTGCAAAATGGAAAGAAAATTATTTCCATTGTTAGTTTGAATGAGAAAATGAAATTCAAAGTTGGCGCTTGAAAAAAGCAGTTGTATCTGAGGGGAGGAAACTATACATTGCCACCCTAAATCGATGATTGCAGTGAAGTAGAGGCTTTAATACTGTGTAAGTTTCATTTGTGAATATTATTTTCGTTTATTATATTAATTAGTTCTTATCATTATTATTTGAAGTATTGATGAATTTATTAACTGAGGAGATGCCTGAGAGTGAAACTAAATCACATAAGCCAGAACAAGTGTTGAAAATTGAACCCAAAAGTGTTCTCCATTTTAAAGGCCCATACACTGATGTTGTCACCAGTTATTTAACGCTTACCAATCCAACTGATAAACGAGTATGCTTCAAGGTTAAAACTACGGCTCCTCGTCGCTATTGTGTACGTCCTAATAATGGTGTAGTTGAACCTAGGTCAACTACTAAAATTGCTGTTATGTTACAACCCTTTGATTTTGAAAATCAACCGGATAGAAGTAAACATAAGTTTATGATTCAAACAATGTTTGAACCCGAGCCTGACATGGATCAGGAAAATATGTGGAAAATGTTTCCTGATCAGATCATGGACTCCAAATTGAAATGCTTATTTGATAATACATCTGAATCTGCACTTGCACCAGATACTGGTACAGGTACTGTCTACAGTAATGCTGAAAATGCTGTTGAATTATTTTCTTCTCAAACGTCTGAATCTACAATGAAGATCCATGGTGAGGAGAAACCTAGCGAAGATTCTCGAGCATACAAGGAAGACAATAAACGTTTGATGGAAGAAAATGCTAACTTGAGACAAGAATTGATGCAATTAAAGGAGGAAGGTTTGAGGAAAAGATTCACTGATTCAAGTTCGGCAAGCGGAGACTTACATGGATTCAAGGGCCCATCAGCTGCTATTGAACCCATTGATCAAATGAATTTACTAGCTCAACCACAAGTCATTGGTTTAATATTGGTAGCGCTATTTTTCGGTCTGTTTTTGGGCAAAATCCTCTTTTGAAATGATGGAAAATTATTGCTTGAGAAACTTGTAGTATTTGCACTTACTTGCAATAAATAAACCTGTAAACAAGTTTCCTTCTTGCACATTATTAAATAAAAAAAAAGAGTTACCAAGCCTAATTGTATTTCTGTATTCAAAAAGCAAAGAAAAATTCAATATTTAATGCATTAGGGTTTATTAGTCGATATTAAATTCTAATAAAAATTTAAATTAAATTAAAATAAATATTTAAAATTAAAACAGGCTCCAATGATTAGTAAGATAATTTTGACAGAGTGATTTTGAGGTAAAAAAAATTGAATTATAATACATCGTATATTCAAAACTATCGATGGTCGATTGTTGTTCACATTTACCGCTAAAGCTGGTTAAGCCTAGAGAAGTAAACAAAATCTTGACTCTTTTTACAAGGATATGAGTGAAAAACCTTGACAAAAGGAATAACAAAAATATTAATTGTTTTGATTTTTGTATTAACTCGACATGGTTATTATATTAATTGTTTAGTTGATTAAAGAAATATAGTTTTGTTTGATTTTAATACTGTCTTGTGGTTGTGATGATTAACTGTTTACCTATTTCCCTACTATTACACTGTCCTGTACCATCTCTAATGAGACCATCTTTATCATTAGCAACATTCACGTTACTGTCATGATGTGTCATCATCGTCATCAATATTTGTGATCATGATAATATTGTTGCTCTATGTGGATATTTAATTGTTCAATTCATCTATTTTTCCCTTTCTTTCCTGCCTTTATCACTTACACCTCTTTTCTCTCAAACGATTCCCTTCTTTCTTCACCCTCTTTCTCTTAATACCATCTTTCACCTCCATAGATCAAAGCAACTTAAATTATTGACATCTCTGACGATCAATTTAACTAGAGGAGGAAGAGAGTATTCTTACCACCACCGCACCAACAAGTCCACAATCATGCCAGCCATAACCAGGACACCAAAAGATTTGTATATGGCCCACTCTATTGGGGAATTGAATCAATTAGCAAATGATAAGCTTACTATGGTAATGAAAGCCTCTTCACCTGATCTTTTACTCAATGGCATGAAGAAGGTTTTCAATCAAGCAAAACAAAGCTATGATTGTGGCGATGAAGAGAAAGCTTTCATCTATTACATGAGGGTTGCTACTCTCTGGCAAGCGGTTAATGCAGCTCGCTATCGTGATGATAAAAAGTTCGCTGAAATGTTTAAAGAAGCTATTGTAAAATGTGAAGAACTATCTACCAAACTAGGTGAAAGATATGCACAAGCCACAAGCAAATCAGGTTCATCCTCTTCAACTTTACCTACGCCTGGAAAAACTATAAAGGCAAATAACGATACCGATACCACAAATATAAATAATGTTAATCCAGCTAAAACCACCAATAATATAAATAATAATGGCTTCAAAAATGACCTTTCCGCTGCTAATAGACGTGATGGCTATAACTCTAACCAGATTGATGGTGATAATGTTATATATCCATCCATTGAGCCATTAGAGATGTATGATTTAATCGAGGACCTTGTTAAAACAGGATCCAATGACATAATACTTTTATTGGATGCAAGGAAAAGAGAAGATTTTGAAGCCTCTCATTTAAGTAATCTCAAAACGGATAAAGTTAAATTGTTAAATATACCAGAGGAGTTATTAGAGAAAGGTACAGCGGCTACCAAATTGTTAAAATCTTTACCAAACAATGCTCAATTAATTTTAAAAGAAAGGAGAACTGCTCGTAAGGTGATTATTTTTGATTGGAAATCAAGCAGTTACAGTGAGAATGAACGTTTGGCTGCTTTATTTGATGCTTTATGGAAGGTAACCTAAAATTTTCATTTCATTTTATATTTCATATTTTCCTCCTTCTTATCTTTATTTTATGTTTTCTTGTTTCTCATTTTCAGTGGGACAATAAAGAAGGATGTCCATCACCACCTATTCTTTTGAAAAAAGGTTATTATGGCTGGCTTAATAGTTATCCAATGCTAACTTCTAATTCAAAAGTAACACCACCAGTTTCTGATGATAGCAACGATTCAGAATACGAGTCCCTTTGCCTGAATTTTTACTCTCAGTTAAATAAGGCCGGTGATTCATCCCCAGATGCACCTAAACCAGCACAGAATGGGACAAGCTATCCATCAGTATTGAATGATGGCGATGTTGATGATAATGATGATATTGGAATGATTCAGGATAGCAATGAGTTGGTTGTTCGTCTGACAAATTCCAAATTGAAAGATAATGCAAACAAAATACCAGGAACTGCTCAACCTGTTCCACCGATTAATCGACAGGTTAAACCCAAATTGAACAACGGTGATGTAAACTCGCCTTTGAAATCACCTAACATGATCAACAAAAACGATAAACCTAATGGATTATCTCCATCTACCATGAATGCTACCACTACAATACCAGTTCAGAGCAATAAACCATTAAATGTACCAACACAGCAAAACGGAAATATCAATGAAAATAACAACATGAAGGAACTAGAATTTAAAGCTCGTAAGTCACTCGAAGCACAAGAAGAGATGCTTCGACTAAGGGAAAGTGAATATGAAACAGCATCTCTGGAAAAGGATAAGATTTTAAAGAAAATTCAAGCTGATAGAGAACATCTTTTACGAGAAAATGTTGATCTTAAACGAAAGTTGAAACCTAATCCCTCCAAGTTACCTGATCCTTCCTCTGATTCTTCAACAATCACTACTTCAGTAGCTGAATCGCGGGAACCATTCAAGCCTGTAAAATTCAGTGTAGCTGCTGAAAGTGGTGATGAAAGTGAAAATGAAAGAGAAGCAACAAGTAACCCAGATGAAGAAATGTGTTACCCTGCTACTAAACCGATCATGGAAACCACAATTAAACGATCAGATGAGAGAACAGTTTCTGAATCTTCATCTCCTAGTGCTGTACCAAGAATACCTTCAATTGCCAAAACCGGAAAAAGTCTATCAAGATCCTACTCGTCCCCTAATATAGCTGACCATCATGATGACGAAGACTCACAAAATCGACCTCCATCTAATCATCAACCAACGTTTGACCGTGCACTTAAACCTTTATCAAATGCAACCGATTTTCCTCGAGGCTTCACAAGTTCGGCGCGTATGAGAAACTTTTCACCCATTTATGGTATTCCTGGTCAAGTCAACACTGGTCTCAAAAATTTGGGTAACACTTGTTTCATGAATGCCGTTCTACAATGCTTAGCTGATACCTCAATATTCCGTCGATATTTTCTCCAAGAGAAACACATGGCTGATATTAGTCGTCACAATCGACTTGGCTCTAGAGGTGAACTAGCCGAGGAGTTAGGAGCATTGATACGAGAAATTCGTAGTAATCAATATAAATCAGTGTCGCCCTCAAATTTTAAAGATGCCGTTGGAACCCATATGCCTTTCTTTATGGGCTGTGAACAACAAGATGCCCATGAATTTTTATGTATGCTTCTGGAAAAATTACATGCTGACCTTAACAGAGCACCTGCAGCTAACGGTGCTCTTAACCTTCCAGACGATCTACCACCTCACATAGCAATAACCAAATTTTGGAATCATCATATTTCTCGAAACCGATCAATCGTATCTGAAATGTTTGAAGGTCTTCTTATGTCAACCCTTAAGTGTACAGCTTGTGGTAAACAGTCGCATACTTTTGAAGTTTTTAGCAACCTTTCTCTTCCCATTCCTACCAAATTGGGCCATAGATTTACCATCCTAGACTGTTTGGATCTGTTTTCAGATGAAGAGAAGCTGTTTGGAGAAGCAGCCTGGGAATGTCCAACCTGTAAAGTTAAACGAGATGCCATCAAACAGATTAAAATATGCAAACTACCTAAAGTATTAGTGATACATTTAAAAAGGTTTGTTCCTTCCTCTTATTTACTAATTTAAAATGCGTATAACATACCAAAAGTCTATAAATGATTTGACATTGATTACAGTTAAGAATCTCATGCAGTTTCCTTGAATATATCCGCAGTATTTTTACAACTCTTTCAGTTATCTAGTTTACAATTCAAATATTATTCTATATCATTAAATGTCTCTCAGACAATCTATCAATGCTTATTTTCTTGATGCACTAAATATATTTGCTCATCAGAATAGTTAATTTATTAATATTGTTGATGATATCAGTGGCCAAGCCATTTTATCTGTTAAAATAGTCAACTTTTGGTAAATCATATCCGTCGATTCAACTAAACAAACATTACAATTTATCTTGATTTGTTATATTTCTAACCATGTAATAGATTCGTATGTTCAGAGTGTTTGCTCTCTTCAAAATGCATTCCGGAAATATTTAAGATTTTTATCTGTATGAAATAATCTTGAAAATCTATTCGTTTTACCATTTTCAATTGATCATTTTTCTAATAACATTTTTTTTATTTCTATTTTATTATATTTTATCCTTATTATACAGATTTTCATATGAAGGTAAATGGAGACAAAAGTTGCAAAACATGGTCGACTTTCCTTTATTTGACTTGAAATTGAAAAAATATAAAAGTTGTAGCTCTGCGGATAATTTTGATGCATCTTATGAACTCTACGGGGTAGTTAATCATTATGGAACCCTTGAAGGAGGACATTATGTTGCATTTTGTAAAAATGATGAAAAGAACAAATGGTTTAAATATGATGATCATGAAGTCACCGAATTAAGTACAGCTGATGTTAAATCACATGCTGCTTATCTCCTGTTTTACACGTCCAACAATTAAATTTGAAATAAATTTGAAATTTGAATCGAATCACACAAAAAATATCATTGGTTTCCTTCTTGTTTAATTACTTCTTTGCCATTACACCCCAACACCAACACAAAAAATCAATTATTGTTAGTTTCCATTCTTACATTGACCAAATGAAAATATTTACATTGCAAATGTTTTTAATGGAAAATATTTTCATGAATGGAAGATAAGATTGTACAAATATATCATCAAGTTTCTTATGTTAATTACAAAATAAAACAAATAATTTGGAATGAAATCCTTTGAATAAAGTCCATATTTCAAGCTAACATTTGATTCTGCTTTATTCTCGTCCATTCCTTATAAACATTGTTCAATGTATCACTGAATACTTTTAGCTCCTAGAGATGGCGTTTAATTAGAAATAAGTTATTTAATTAATTTTATATTGTCCAACAATAAATTAATTATGTTATCACCATAACAATTGACAGCTAAGTCGGTAAAAATTTATCCTTGATATTTAAGTAGCTTTAAATTACCTTCCTCTGATTCAGGATCATTTACAGGCTCAATATTCACTTTCATTGTTTACGTTTTTTTGATACGCTTCCGAATATTTTGAGACTCATCTTGTTTTCATAACCACTTTTGCTTCTTATTTCATCACTCTTGTAATTCATACCTGTTTACATTTTTAATGATCACAATACAACTATAATAATTAGAATGGTTAATATTATAGGTAAGTTGATTCAATTTAATCTTTACCTTTCCATCAAACCGATTGAAATACTCGTATATGTTTACCAAGATAGCTGTAATTTCAATGACGGTTGCATGCTTGTCTAGTATTCATAGATTGATATTTGTAAACACCTTTTATCAGAGATTTCTTTTTCAATTATAATGAATCAATTTTGCATGTTTCTTCAGTATTAAAGTAGTATGAATGGCTGAGATTTATTTTAATAAATGTCCTTTTATCTTTATTTCATTCCAGAGGAAAGTAAAGCGGCGTTGGACAAAGCCAAGGAAATTATCCCAAGCAACAATAATCATGGATTTTTGAGTAAGATTTTGCGATCCAAAGATGACGAGTCTTCTGTTCAACAGTTGGCAGTTGGAGGTGCCAGTGGATGGGTTACTGGATTTGCTTTTACCAAATTCGGTAAAGTTGTCTGCTTTGGAGTTGGTATTTCTCTGCTTGGTATTTATCTCGGACATCGTTCCGGTTATCTTAAGGTTGACATGAAAAGAGTGGAAAAGGATGCTGCGTCTGTGAAAAAGGAGATGGAAAAAATTGCCAAAAAAGCTGAAAAGGAGTTACCAGGCTTCATTGATAAAGCAGGAAAATATGTCTCAGATAATGCTCTTCTAGTTCTCGGGTTTTCTGCTGGATATTTACTTGGTGTGGCTTCTGCTTAAAAATACAACACAACTTTAAGAAAACTTTATAGTGGATTCTCATTTATTAAGGTTTAAAAGGATCGAGTAATCCTTTTATTCGTGATATTATTGCAGACTTGATATTCGCAAAATTTATTATGTTCATTATGAGTTGGATCAAGGTGATGTTGGAAAATTGATCCAAAATTCTTAAGCCATAAATCATGTGGATCCAGTATTTTTCTCGTTTGTCGTTATCTAATCAACTCATCAAATGGCCAAATTAACTTTATTCAAATGCTGCTTTGATGTCACTGATTTCCCCATTTATTTCCCATTTATCATTAAATGCTATTGTAGAGTATTGAATTAGACTTTTTGGTTAGCATTTACCATTTTACTTCATCTAATTTTTTCAGTCAATCCCATTTTCCCCTTGAAATCTTATCATCAGTTATTGAATTGAAAGTTTTGATTCATTAATATTTCTATATTTCCAGCAATAAATGAAACCTTATCAACGTTCAATACTTTCTCTATATTTTAAGTACGAAATTTAAAGATTAAATAAAGTGAAAAGAAATCTTGTAGATTTTAATGATAATAAAATAAGATCATGATTGTATTTATAAATACATATTTGTCTGTCATAAATTGAAGGTAACAAAAATATAATGATAATTTAATAAACAAATCGCCTTTACATTGATCAATATTGAAACAATTTGTCGCAAAATATGCTTTACGTTTTGATTCTTCCACCGGTTAACATGTGAACAAAAATGGTAAAATTTTCACGTTCAATCCCTGAAGCGTTTTGATGATTAAAAAAATAAATATAATAATGTTGAACATGATAGGAATAGCGAAGAGATTATAAATTGTAAAAGATTTCAACTCTCAGAGTTATACTTTCAAGCGACTTTAAGTCAACTTTCATTTCATCTTTCAAACGCATTTTCAACTAATTTTAGGGCACTTTGGTGATGGATGGTTCATCCGAAACCTTGTGTTAGGTTGGGTCTTCAACTGAGATAATTTTATCTTTGGCTCTCTGTGTTAATTAGTTTAAGTATCAGCCGCCAATCAAGTATGCAAAATGCAGTGTCTCACTGAGATACTCATGAGGAGGAATTAAATGAGATTAAGAGCGAATGAGTAACAGAAATATAAAACAAAATAGAGTCCATCATTTTTTAAACATTATCAGCTGGGCTGTGGTTGGATTGCCGAGGAAGAGGGTGAATGTTTGTTTTGATTGTTGGATGTTACTTCGCTCTGACCTGTTCCTCCTCCCTGAGAAGGAGGCCTAAAGGGAAAGAAAGAAATGAGGAAGAAAAATCCTCATCAGTCTTTGGTTTTATTGAAATTTCATTATGAATTGAATTATTACGTTTGCATTATTTGGATTAAGTTTGATAATTTTGTTTGGCAAAAAGAATGAAAAAGCATGATCCAAAGTTGAGATTTGTTGTTGAGGTTTGTTGTGTTACAGAAAAAAGATTATAATAGTGTGAAGGAAAGACAATTTCATGTGAATGGATTTTTTATCTAATAAATAGATGATTAAGAACCATGGTTAATTATCACGATAGTCAATATAATATCAATAGATTTAAGATAGAAAGAGTTTGTTGGCTTTTTGGCTCCATGGTTCTTTCATTGCTGAGAAATTCAACTTGAGTTTAAATAATTTATAAATAGGATTCAATTAACATTTAAGATCCTAAAGATGAAATAAAATCTTAATCGAATATAAAACCCAGTTATAAACCTGATCAATACATGAGAAAAGAGAGAGAGAGAAAAGAGATAGATGAGAAAAGACAGACACAATTAATGTAAAGTTAGAATTGTTGGGATTTTAGAAGAGTTAAATGACCAAAAAGAGGTTCAGGTTAATTTTGGGAAGGTATTAGAAAAGGTTGAATAGTTAAATTTTGTTAAGGAAAAATTAGTTGAGATGAAGAGACAATAAAGTTGCAGGAATTGGATTACCAAATTACAATTGACTCTCTCCTATCATCCGAAAAGACCAGGTAGATGTCAAACTGGGTATCTTGCAAGTTTAGGTACCATAAGAAGAATAATTGGATTCAGTGAAGTCTCTCAAGCCCATATCGGAATAATAAGCCCAATAAGGGAGTTCGAGATTGTCTACAATAATATTTTGACACTCGCTGTAAATGGGAATATTCACAATAAAAAAAGTATCATGTGTTTGATTGAACAAAAAAGGACTAAGTCTCAATGTTTCAACTAATTTACACAAGACTAGTCTGGGTAAGAAACAAAAGATAGCGATAAGCTCCGTTTAAAGGATCACAGTAGTTGATATCGCAAAAGACGCCGAGGGTAAAGTTATAAAGAGATATGCAAAAAAAAACGTTTAAATTAAAAAGTAAATATGATGCTTGTTTGACAATGCTGCGATTTAACCAGGCGATTGCGTACGCTTTCGCTGCTGCGGCTGCTGCGGCCCAAAAACGTCATCAGACGGAGATGTGCGGTTTGTGTTAATAATCGTTCAAATTGATTTTTACCTGGATGGTTGTATCTTAGGTTTGGGCATCTTAGCTAAGAGAGCTGGGACTTCCTTTTTATCATCGAAATTTTTCCACAGCTCATAGAGGTTTAAAATGTGACGAGTGATTTCCAATACCTGAAAACAAGAGGAACAATTAGGATACAATAACTTATAAAGCAAGATAATTTAATGGTTGATACCTTGTCCAAATCAACGTTAAGCTCAGCAAACCATTGCTTAAAGTCTCTGCCTGAGATGACACATCCCATATGAAGACACGCTGGAAATAAAAGATAAAGAGCATATTGAAAATGAGCTAATAGAATCGTGAATGAAACATTGAAAGATAATTTACCAATGGCTATCATATGAGGAGGATAAAGTAATGGTATATCAGTTCTGTATGCATCGTTAACAACGCTCCAAGCCGTGTTTAGAAGATCATCTTTAGAGTCTTTGTTATCTTTCAAGTCTTTCATTTCTTTTATGTCTGCAGTATATGAAATAAGTGGTCGGTAAGGGTGGTAGATGATGAGACAACAGTCCATCAGTTCAAGAAGATAAAATTCACATTCCAAGATATGATTAATTCGGTAAGGGAACTCTGGAAATGCAAAGCCAAATTTATTTTTAACAACAGTCTGGCATATGCTGATTAAACGGCTGTTAGAGATGACACCAAACTCTTCAACTTTAGAAGCTAAGAAGATACAGGTAGGAGCCATGAGAAGAGGATCAATACATTTGAGAGAATTGCGAACATAGAATCGCTTAAAGTAAACAATAGCGGTTGAGATGACCTGTTGTTTAACCTTTAATTGTTCACCAAGAATTTGTATGAAGTTAGCAAAAAATATCATCAATTTTTGATATTCCTCTTCTGAAAGTATTTGAAGGTCTGCGTGTCTTTCACGTATCAAGTCTTGTCTTTCAAGAAGCCATTCATGAAAGTGAGAGCTTTGCCAGAAATTACCAGCCATCAGATAGGCTTTGTTTAATTTAAGGTAAGATAGGCTGTATAGATGGAATCAAATAGATTATAAAAAAAGTAAACTAATAAAAAAGGAACATTAATTAGTTAATTGTAAACAAAAACAAAACAGTTTATAACCTGAAGATCAGGTTGAGATAAACCAACTGAGAATGTGTCAACTGTAAAAAAATATTTAAACAGATAGATGGCAGTCCAATTTGCAACAATTAAACACAGACAACATACCAAAGATTAGCCAAGTCAACAGTTAATTAAGCATATGCTTTTGAATTTTGAACAATTGGTTAGTTAAACACTTGAAGATCACAATAAATAGGTAATCACCAGAAAATGCCAACAAGCATAAAAAAGCTAAGCTTAAAAGTACAGTAAAGATTTAACACAATTTGACAAATTATTCACAAATCACAGTTCTAATGATGGAAGTATCATGCCAATTTCACCGTAATTAGATGTTTCTAAATTCACATAGAAAGGTATTTTTAGCAATTAAATCGTGTTAAAAGGTTGATGAGATCACAGATGAGCAATTGAAAGATTTGAAAAAATCAAACAAACGTAACATCGCGCTACAATTTAAACGCCATCTAGGTTAATACTTGATAACAATAACCAGGTTTTTTGTTTTTTTATCTCTTTGCTCTAGAGTCAATTATATCTTTGGTGTAAATTCTGGAAATTATTATAGTTTCTTAAAATAACAAGTCTTCCAGTGTGACTCTTCACTTTTAATGAGTCCTCGATCCTTGCAATCCTATGAAAAGCCGGATGATACTATTGAATTAGATCATAATTCAGATTTTGTCATCTTAGATTCACCTTCAGTTGATAATTTTGTGGATAATCTATTAAATCGCCGTCCGCAAGATAATCAAAACAATCCAGTGACTTCAACTGAAACTTCATCGGACCAATTAACAGAATCAACTTTGGAATCAGAAATGGGAATAGACGTGGTAAGTAACAAGCTCGAATTTGTTAATCTATTTCATCAATCATGCTTGCTCAATATGCCTAAGATCAAAGCCTTTGTAAAAGCTATACAAACACTTACAACTCTGTTTTTATCTCACTTCTGCCTCTTTTTTGATAGATTTCATCTGCTTATGCTGCATTAGTTGCTGCTGGAGGAGTTATTGGTTATGTAAAAGCTGGCTCAATTCCATCTCTTGCTGCCGGACTCTTCTTTGGTAGCACATTAGGAGTTGGTGCTTATATGACTTCAAAAGATCCCAGCAATTATTATTTAACTTTGGGTGAGTTTCCTGAGAGAATATTTGATGCTTTTAACATCATTTTTTGTCACAATCTCTAACCCTTTATTGTCTAACTCTTAGGTACATCAACTCTGCTCACTGGACTGATGGGCTATCGTTTCTACAATACCGGAAAATTTATGCCTGCTGGTTTAATAGCTGCTTTAAGTGTGGCAATGGTCTTAAACATTTCTTTCCGAGCTGTTTCTGGACCGGCTCAACATGTTAAAAAGTAGAAATACTTTGATCAGAACGGGCAAAATATAATTTAATCTAAAATTGGTTTTTGTATTTAAAATTAGATTAAGGTCTAACGTCTATCTTTTAAATTCGTTTCTTCCTGAAGCTTTTCTCGAATTATTTTTCTTTTTCACTTTATTCTCTATAACAGGGAACTTAAAATAAGCTTATTGATATAATGTTAATTTAAATGACCAGAAGAGAAGAAGAAAATTATCTCTATGAAATTTAATTCATCTTGGGAATTTCTGTAATACTATTGTTGAACAGTGTTATTGTTGTCCAAAATTATTGAGACAGATTTAAATAAACTGTGAGATTTCAGATTAACCACAGACTTATTTATCAATACATCGTGAATCTGTCTACAACTGTTATCAACTATTGAGCGAACATCGTTGACCTCTTTCTCTATTGTTACGGAAGTATAATCACCCAATCTTCTATCACCTTTAATTGTTCATTGTGTGTTCACAGACAAGATAATAAATTGGTGACAGAATCCATTAAAAACAAACTGGTTTGAATAAATGAATCAAGATAACGATTGCTCCTATGAAATGCTTTGACCATGACAATCAAACCAACCTCCAAGTTACATCGAACGCAATAAATTTCAAACCAATCATTTATAGCAAATAAAAAATGTCCATTCAAACCCAATTGAATTTACCAATTTTACCAAATATCATATTTTAATTTTACTCGGATTACCGGTTAATTTGGTTAACTAAATCATTATTATTTTTTCTCTTGATTAATCCATTGTTTTCATCGCATTTCCTGGTCAATTGTTGAAGATGATTATAAATACAACTTTAAAACTGAGAGTTTTTGTGCAACCTAACAAAGCTCAAATCACCTTCATTATCTTCATCATCATTATCATCTTCATTGCCTTCATTTGAGTGACCTATTTACATTAGGATGAGTCCATCATCGCAATAATAATAATAATCATCATCAGTCAAGGCTATAAGATTTGGGAACAATTTAAACATGTTTTTCACCAAGTGAAAGGGGAAGGTAAATTTGACAACTATAAAAAGTAAATTGTTGATATAACACAATTTAATCATGACCTTGCTCTTAGGTAAAACAGGAATGAATGATTAAACATTAAATGAAGGTAACCGAGATATCAAGAACCATTACAAATGAAACAATAATCACAGACCTGGAAATGTCTCTCGAGCTGATGATTAACATAATCTTAACTCATCTAATGGCACTTCTATTTGATTTGTGGCTGATGATTCGATGCATGGCTCAAAATTATGTTCAACCGATTTGCACCCAAAATTGAAACAAATACTAAATGATTTAGACTGGTCAAATTGAATTATCATTGGCCATTAGATGAAACGTAATTTCTTTATTGCTTTCTAATTTTTCAATATTTTGCTTTTCTGTTTTTACCTTTTGGAGCGTTTGGTGGTTTTTGCATTGTTGGAGTTGATATTATATTACAGCTGAGTAGTTGATTGTGTATTGACAGCTAATACGAATTATTAATGAATTAAGAGGAAAAATGAAATGATTGATAATTTGATTAAACTTGAAAATTGAAAGAGATTTAATCTGATCGAACTAAAATTGGATTTCAATTGAAACAGGTTTAAGACAGGAAGACAAAATTTTTAGCTTTTTAAGAAGGAAAAAAAAGAAAAGATTTGTTAAATAGGAAAATTATTCAATTTGCTGGTGCTAATATATCGATTATTTCATAATAGAAACTTAATCATGGTCAAGTTAGTTGATGAAATTGACCTTGTACAGATTTTGAATGAAAGTGAAGAAGTAAATTTGATAATTAGCAACTAATTTGTCTAAAAAATTGGTTACTCTTGAATGTTACTCTCACCAACAGGTCAATTGTAATTTCAATTTGGTCTTTACCAAGGGCAAACTGAATTAGATTATCCCGATTTAAATCATTTAAAGCATCATGCTATGATTAATAGGTTACAAGTGAAGGAGACTTTTGATTGATTGAGAGTACCAAAATCAAGTTTGATCCAATTTCAAAACCAGAGGATCCAATTTGAAGATGGAAGATGCTTTCAAATTTAACTCGAAATATGTTTTTAATTGGAAGCCCATGCATCAAAGTAAAACTCCATTGTAAACGATTGGTAAGTAAGAATTGTATTTTGAATGTCAGGTTTGTATTAAAGCAACTAATATTTGTTCACCAGTCCGTAGTGTCCATACATTGTCGAGTTGAAATCTCGAATGACTGATGGGTTGGTCTCAAGAAAAACGTCTGCTTGTGTCAATTGTTCAATGTCCTTGTTTGGTTTGGGTTCAAAACAGCCAAAGTCAAAACAGCCAAGTCCATAACAGCCAAGTCCAAAACGGCAAAAGTCAAAACAGCCAAATACAAAGCTGCTTAAATCAAATAAAACTACTTAAATGATCAGATTTATTAGGGGCATCAAAAAGTACTTTTGTTTCTTTACCACTGACTTTTGCTTCAATTTTGAATAAGTTTGACTTAACCAATTGACTCAATAATTTTTAGGACACAAGAGCATCGACATAGGTGTATGTGGGCCATTTTCTGACTCGATCGGAGTTAATTAAGTATAATTAATTAGCTTATCAATATCCATAGGCAGGTTTTTTTTGGACTTTTTTGCAATTTGAATTGATATGATTTAAGCAGCTTTGTATTTGGCTGTTTTGACTTTGGCCATTTTGGACTTTGCTGGTTTGGACTTGGCTGTTTTGACTTTGGCTGTTTTGGGCCTTTACCCCTTGTTTTGATTGTCTTTAAATGTCTAAATCCAAATTCCAGGTTCCTTGATGTTCACGGTTTACTTTACTGGTAACAATCAATTAGGTTTTACCATTGATATGAGAAAGTCGAAAAGATTTGAAATATACTTTGTATAACCAAGGACATTGCCTAGAGCTGGTCAATATTATCACCACCATTATAGCCATCATATTTATTATCCTTCAACAATAGGTTATTGAAACCTGAAAACTGGTAAGAAAATGTGAAAACAGCGGTAAATATACTTTGTTTCATTCATTGAATTCATTTTAAAATATAATAATTTGCGTTTGCCTTTTTTGATAAAATCGACTTACTTTAAATTGATATCTTTTCTGGAAAAATCAGTTGATTTGCTCTCCATTAATTTGATTTTTCACCAATTTACAGGTCAACTAATGAAATTGAAGTTTGTATTGTTGGGTTAAATATGATGTTGACTTGAAAAAAGTCCATTCAAATGGTCGTTGTTTTTGTTGGTTTCTCTGCAAAATTATGATCAACTCATATTTACCTTTATCAATTGATATCCATTCCTAATTCGGGTGATAAAGGCTGGTTTAGATGGACAAAGGAATCATAAATGGACGTTAATAACAGCGATAGATTGTATGATAATGTAATTAACTCGAAAAAACCAGTAGATAAGATGAAGTAAAACTCTTGCTCCTGTTTGGCTTGATTGAATGGCGCATGTTAATGTATGGGTGGAGAGAATGAATTATTGTTAGTTGAACTGAACTTTTTCAGGCTATCTCCCGATGACCTAATCGCGATCATTTCAATACCTTGTGGTGTAGTTAGACCAAAAGATCAAAACAAGCAAGAAAGAGATTGAAAAAGAAGCAAGAAAAATGCTGTTGTATCAACGTTTTCCAAGAAATACTCTGTAAACTCTTCCATTGGCTGTTACTGTGACCGATGACAAAACTTACAGTTGCTTAGGAAATCGCTAAAGTAAAATTTGAATGTCAAAGATCTTCTGATTGATTCGTTTGATTTTTAATCTTCATTCAACGATATTTTTGATACTTGTTATTGTTATACAATTAGCCAATTTAATGGGATTACCAAGTTTTGTTTAATATTCTTTAGTGTGAAATCTACATGAAAATGGTGGAAGACAATTGACTCTTCTTATGGAACGTGAATCCTTCTTTCAGCCCTCCTCTTCTAATCATTGATTTAACCGTTTTTTCAGCTTAAACTATTCAAATTATGGCTGGTTGCTTGATGGTCATCACTGCTGATAATCTCATTTGAGACAGAAAAAGTTATCTTAAGAACAAGTTTTGATTACATGTTGCTTGCTCCAGCTACTTGAAACTTGGTTTCTTTCTTCTCATCAAATTACATTTCTCTTTGTTTTCTTCCATAGTGGTTTTTAAAATTCAGCTTTTACTGTTTCAAGTCTTCTAAAAGTGCCAATTGTTTTGTAAACCATGGACCAAATAATGTATCATCTTATACGTTTCTAATCGAAAATGCCCGGAATTTAAAACAACGAAATGACTTGTTTCTATTGACCATGGATCCTCTTCAGCCGACAGATACATTTGTTTTGAGTAAAATATGAGGTGATTTAAAGGCGAGTTTGAATAACTTACGCTTATGTGTTACTCATGGAATCATAATGCTAAGTCCCATGTCAATTTCAAATTGCATCATCTTAACCATGATTACAATATTTTATACATCGCTCTTGAAATCAACTCATTCACTCATCAATTGATCATCAAGAGGCAACTCAACATTTTCTATTCTTCTCCTCTTCTCTACTTCTGATAACTTTATATAAAAAAAAACATAATTGTCAACAAGACCAAAGACAAAAGAGATTTCCCTCCAGAACAGTGGCTCCAAGGATAACCATCAACATAATCATCATCGGCAGACAAAAGATAATCTTTGGAGACCTTAAACCTACAAGGAGAAAAAGTTCTTGAAAACATCAAAATCAAATATTATTCTTACCCAAAGTAGTCTTAAAGATTTTATTTTCCTTCTCTAACTTTGCCTTCTCTCTCTTTTCCCTCTTCCATCCCTCCAATTTTCCCTCTTCTGCGTTTTCTTCCCTCTATTCTCATAATTTTCCTTTTCTTCTTTTTTTTCCTTCCTTAGAACATTTCTTATGCCATCTAAAATTTTCTCTTGGCCATTGACTGAACTTCTCTCACTCTCTCTCTCTCGTTTACTGACATCCCCGTGAATAATGTTGACTTTGTCAACAACAATTTGGTTACCTCGAAGACGTAAACTTAAACTATCCAATCTAACATACGAGTTGCAACGGCTTAATATTGTCTAGCAATAGTGTCTACTATTACGCCCCTCTCATCATTCCTAACTCTCTACCTATCTTCATCTTGTATCTTCTTCGGCTCACATGAAATTATTCAACAGTTACAGATGAACCATTGTTTCATCTCGTTCTTTTTCTTGATCATTTTCTCTCATAATTTCAACCTTTTCTCTCAACTGACCCAGGTAGTCAGTTTTTATAAACTTTAAAACCTAACCTTAAAACTCGTTTCACCAACACTCATTGGAAACTGAACTGTATCCTTAGACGACCAATATCTTTTTGTTTGTGTTGTTGCTCTTCGATAAATCGATTGCTCACCTAACCACATTCCCAATATTTTCACCTTTATTCTTCTTCTGGGAAGAAACTCAATTTGTTCGACAATTTTGATCAACTCGTTATGAATCAACGTTACCTTTCACTGTGTTTACCTTTGATTATTAAATTGTTTACTATTCTCTATTTGGTTCCAGTGACTTTTTGTGCTACAAGTAAATCAATTAACTCTACTAAATTGACCAGTATTGCTTTTTTTCATCTCATACATGACCATGAAAAATTGTCCATTGCTGGTCATATTGACTTTTTAAAATCTTATAAATTGTCCAACAGTTTTAAACTAACTCTCATTTTCTCGTCTTTTTAGATTCTCAGAATACTGGAAGCAATGGCAAACGAATCTGCTCGACCAAGGCTTGCCAGGAAACAGGTTAGTTATTCAAATCACGTAAATCTTATCACCATAATTATAGATAATCTTGCAAATTTAGTTTAATTACATTTACTTCAACCAACATTAGAAGCTTTTAGCATAGAATTACAAATTAGTTATAATTTTAGCAACAAAGAAAAGTAAATTAATTAAGACATCTCTTATTTAAATATCATAGACTAATCATTCTCATCTTTTTCTGAAAATTGCTAATTCTAACTTTATTTTTTCAGCTAATCGTATTTGGAACGGTATGGATGTTAATGTTGATCCATGTGATGATTTTTATCAATTTGCCTGCGGAAATTGGCTTCGTAAAGCTGTGATTCCAAAAGATCGTAGTTGGTGGTCAGTTTGGGCTTTATCACGGTTAACATTGAAAAAGCAGCTAAAAAGTAAGTGGTATAACCATTTTACTTTTTTGCTTTCATTTCATTGAAATTCATAATCTACCTGAATTACGTGTCATATAAATTGACTAAACATGATATAGATTTTTATACACTCAAAGAAACTCAAGTACTCTCGGAATAGTAGAGTCGCGTTCACCCACGTTTTCAAACCATTTGGGTCAATGTCTTTAAAAATAAGCTCATACTCTTGACCAATAACTCTTGAGTATTTCTCTAATGGCCAAAATTGAGCATTTAAATTTTATAGTTTCATTAAACGAGCAAATTTTACCAATTTTCAATATTCAATATTTTATATCAATACTCTTGATATCTATTGAGTGACAATCGCTCAAGTGGCTTACAATTTCCATACAACTTATTTCAACCAAAGATTGCATTCACTTTCATGCAACAAAAATTGAGTTTCAGTTTTGATTAGAAAATTACTGAAATACTAAAATATTGATGGTTTTAAATGATTTTCCAGTCGATCTGGTAATAAATCTAACATTAAATTTGCAGATTTATGTTTACCTGTCATTATTTAGTAGATTGTAATAGTTAGTGTCAACATCTAATTAAAACTGACCCTGGAACTGAATTAAACTTTCATCATCCCTTAACAATAACATAAAGTGCAAGCTATCAATTTGTGAGTACATGTATAAAGCTCAATATACTGATGATACAATCGGCTAACTACCATTGTAATCATCAAATCCGTGAAACCATTTGTCAAATATCCTTGGCTTAATCGTTTCAGCTCTCAAATAATACCTAATCATCTCATTTAGTTGACTTTCCATATCCTTTCATACAAACCCTTTCAACTCCCAATTCCAAGATTTCAAGTCAACATTGAAAACATTTCTTCTTCGAGACTCACTTCTTGATCCGTTAATGTTTCATAGTTACTTATTTCATCCATTAACATTACCTTTTCAAGGATTGTAAATTTCACGAATACATTCCAAGAGGTTCAAGTGTCCATTATTTTCATTCATTTAAACACCTAGCTTGCAAAACACAAACAATTGATTGGTAATTCCTCGACATTGATAATTTCCTGCAACCTTCACAGTGTTCAGTTCATCGCTTTGAAGCTCTTCAACAAATTAAATACAAATATCCCTTTTATCATATCATTAACTGAATGAAGCATATCCATGAATCCAGTTATGCAGATGAACCGGGATTCCCTTAACTCTCTAAACCAATGATCTATTGTTGATTAACACAAATCCTTACCCAATATTTACACCGATACCTTGCACCTAGACAACGAACCTAGAGGGACTTTACCTTACCTTAATTTTAAAGTTCAACTAGTTTACATAATTTCATTATACAATCGCTATTAAAAAGCAAAAGGGTTTGTTTTCGATTTTATTCACCATTGTAAATTTAAATTACTTCGAGTCTTAATTAGTAAATACAATTGAAAACCAATCTTTTAAGCACAATTAATTTTCTTTGTGTATACTTTTCATTGAAAGTCTAATTTTAATAAGGGAAAAGGGAAACTGATTGAACAAGCTTACAGCACCTTAAGGCAAGAAAAAGGAAAAATAATTAGTAAATTGACAAAAAAACAGATTCTTAAATAATTCACAAACGTGATTCATATCTTAATTGTAATTTGTAACTTGTAAACAACCATTAAATGCCATTCACAATGGCTTTATATTAAAATCAATGGTCAAGTTTAGTTTTAATGAAACTGGGAAAAATTATTTCATCTTTTGTTTGGTTTTTTCAAAATCTCTTGAATTGAATTTCAATAGTTTATCGTTAGAAACTGGTTTAATCGTCAAATTTACGACCGTTTTTTATTCAACTGTTTATCATAGTCGATGTTCTGTCACAGAACAAGTCTGTATAAACTTAAAGCCCTGGTTCTGTGATTTTCAACTCAACCAGCTCAACTTGGTCTTCGTAAAGGTGTAGGTAAATTTTGTTTCAACAATTAGAATTTAATTACTTAATAATCTACTGAATGTCATTAAATTGTTTGAGAAAAGACGGAATATATATTATCTTTCTCTTTCATTTACTCCAATAAATATGACAATGTTTATGCTTCCTTGTGTTGGGAACAAAAATGGTGTGTCTTAATCATGCAATATAATTTTTACTTTGTACTCGAGGACATTTTCAGGGTCCTATGTTAATTGCTTGAAAAATTGATGACTTGTAATTTTAATTGTCGAAAGGCTGAATAGAGTATCGTTTAATTGTCCAAATTTCAAGTCCAGCCTGAAAATAGTTGATCCATTTATACACGAGAAGAAAGTTAATGTAATTGTTTGTCCTTTCGCATTGTTTCAAATGTAATGTAAAAGAAACCTTTGGTTCATTAGGTTTTTATTTAAAAATTAACAATTTGTCTCTTGTAGGTCAAAATGGCTAATTAAACCATCAGCCTTTAGACAATTACTGACAATTTAACATTTGATTTAATTTCACATTAGTTCAATGAAAAGGTAGACTAATTTTGGGTGAAAACATCTCGAGATTTCCCTTTTCTTTAAAACATTTAACTCATTTTCACTGATATTTCTTCTGTTTTTAGGATTGCTGGATACTAAATATAATCCCAAAATCCATCGTTCACCAGTAATTGGAAGGTTGCTCGATTTTTATTCTGATTGTATGGATACGGCGCGTAGAGATGAGGTTGGCATTGGACCATTATATGAAATACTGGATTCAATTGATGGTTGGCCTGTTATTGTAAAATCATGGGATAGACAGAAGTATAACTGGTTTGAAAATTATGTTAAATTAAAAAGTCAACTTGGAGCCAATTATCTGATTAAAGTTTATATTGATGTTGATCTTATGAACAATACTCAACGTGCAATTTACGTTAGTTAACTTTTACGTTTTACACTTTTTATTATTTTTGTATTTTTATTTCACTGGTTTAATCAATTTATTTCTTGCTTTTCTAGCTCGATCCACCAGAATTAGATATAAGTATTCATGAATTTGAATCTAGAACCTTTTCAAAAGCTTACAAAAGGTATATGCGTGATATAATTGAACTTATGAGACGTGATAAACTTTCAAAATCTCGTATTGATGCTGATGTCGACGATTTGTACAAATTTGAATATCAACTTCAATCCCTAATTACCAATGGACTTCAACAGAAAGATCAACTTAACCCTTATCGCAGGATGACCATAGCCAGTCTATCAAAGGAGTTTAGAGGTGTGAGTGTTTATTTCCTTTAATCAAGTACATTTTTGTATAAAATAAGCTTCTCCTAGAATTATCAATCTAATTGTTTGCTTTCAAATTCCAATTTCAAATTTTATTGTAGATTAATTGGCGAAGATTGATGATTAATATGTTTCGCTGGTCAAATACAGAATTTTCAGAGAGTGATATATTCATTATTGAAAATCAGGGTTACTTCAAACAGTTGGGTTCAATTCTTAGGAATACACCTGAAAGAACAATTGCCAATTTTTTGGGATGGCGGTTTGTTATTGCCTTTGGCGATTACACTGTCAGTCAATTTCGTCAGTTTCGCTTTAAATTTCAAAGAGCAAGAAAAGGTTTAAAATCACCAGAAAAAGATTGGGAATTTTGTTACAACCAGTTAGATAATTATTACCATTTTGCAATGGGCCGACTTTATATTGACAACTATTTCAATTCAACGAACATAAGAAAAGTGGAAACTCTGGTTAGATACATAAAAGATGCCTTACGAGAAGCCTTTAATAAACAAACATGGATGGATCCATTAACACGAAAAAAAGCAAAACGAAAGGTTTTGATCATTTAAATTATCTTTCAACTTTTGACTTATGTGACCTCTACTTATGTACCGTTGAGGTTTGATTATTAGACGATTTTTGGCATTTTTATATTGTATTCTTTTTTTCTCAAATAGTTAAACAATATGGCTTCTGTTGTGGCTTACCAACCATGGATTAAAGACAATCAGCAGCTAGAAAAATTTTACGAAGAGGTAAAACAATTGTTAAATTTGGTAAAATTCAATGTCATTAATACTCTCATCTTTAATCAAAATTTAGCAAACTGTGATTCCAGGAAATTTCATTAGAACTATTTTGAAATTTGAAAAAATTGATGCCAGTAAAAAAGTTCGAGCTCTTCGCTACCGAGTCAATCGATATGCAGTGTAAGTCCACAAATTAAATATTTGCAACTTTTATTTCATTTTAATTATTTTTCTTCAATTCTCTTTTTTCAATTTTTCAGGCGTCTCTCTGGACCAGCAATAGTCAACGCTTTCAATTACATTGATCTCAATTATATCCGTAAGTTTATTAGGCCATTTTTTAATTCAACCAGCTTGGTTATGACAATTTTTCATCTTTTCTTTTCAGAGTTTCCTGCTGCCATTTTAGGTCCTCCATTTTTCTCAAGTGATGTTCCAGATGCTCTTAACTTTGGTGGAATCGGTAAAACAATTGGCCATGAAATAATTCATTCATTCGATGATGAAGGTTGTTTAGACACAAAAATACATGAAATATTTGAACTGTTGATTCTCATACTCTGAATTTTCAATAGGTAAACAACATGACAAAGATGGTAATCTCCGTAATTGGTGGTCACCAGGCTCAACTAGGCGTTACAATGAACGAGCACAATGTTTTATCGATCAATATGATCAAATGAAAGATCCAGAAACTGGCTTGAATATCAATGGTGTCAACACTCAGGGTGAAAATATTGCAGATAATGGAGGAATTGATATTGCTTTTAATGTATTTAGTCTTGAAATTTAATAGAATTGAATAGAATCTTTATTCGTTTCTTTTTTCTTTTTTTCTAGGGATACAAAAAATTTGTCAGCCGATCAGCTAAGGCCAGAGATGAAAGGTTACCAGGGCCAATGTCATCTTTCACTCCTGATCAACTGTTTTTCATTTCATTTGCTTCGGTAAGTATTTATAAGTGTAGATGATACTGATGATTAGAATAACTTATTAATTGTAATTTTCTCTTCAAGATTTGGTGTGAAAAAGAAAGGCCAGCTTCTTTGCGAAATTCAATTCTTCAAGGTGTCCACAGTCCGTCAAAATTCAGAGTGGTTGGAACATTAATGAATAATGACAACTTTGCTCAAGTTTTCAGCTGTCCCAAAGGATCGCCAATGAATCCAGAATCAAAATGTAAACTTTGGTGATTGTAATAGATTGGTATTTGACTGTAGTCGAATTGGAATGGTCAAATGATTTCTATCAGATTTACAGATGTTTAAATTTGATATTATATCAACTTCTTGATTATTTGGTCAAAAATTGAATACGATCAGGATTCTCAAGTTGTATTAGTCAAAACTGGTTTGATGATTCGTCTCTTTGATCACTTTCAGGTTCTAATCTTTCAGCCATTAATTTATCCTGAAAAATTGAATGGATGCTTCTTATAATTTAAATTGACCAATTTAAGATGTTAACTTAAATTTCATCAGCCTTAAAATGTTACATCCGTTCAAGACCATATTGTAGTGTATTATACAATTGTAATTGTATGTATTTTTGTGCATCTAATTTAACCAAAAAGTTTCTCAGTATTTCTACATTAGTACTGATTCTCAATTCAATCATTGAAATTACAAAAATGGTACAATTACATCTTGTTTGTTTCAAGTTGTCTAATTGCTGGTAAAATCAGTGATAATGTATTATAAATATTCAACTATTGGAGTCTTTGTTGACTGATTGTACATCGCATTGCAATAGCGCAACAAAAATGTGCTGCAAGAGTATTGAAATTTTTTTGTAAATTTTAGTTTATTTTCGTATCAACAATTTAATAAATCACTTTCTAGATGAAAATCATAATCACTTTTTCATTGTTTTAAGAGTTGGAATAAAAAGATTTTTTTCACAAACTGTTATGTTGAAATGGTCCCTCATATTTTTTTCGCGGGAACTCAGGCTTTTCTTTGAATCCTTTCTTTAAATGCTGTTCTTCTATTTTGGGTGAACTTAATCTATGTCAACTCAAATTATTTTTGTTTATGTTTTCTAATTTTAATAAAGCTTTTAATATTCTAGTTTGATGTTATGGCTTGTCTTGGCAAGTTGAGTGTTTCCGGTGTTAGAAGCTTTGATCCAGAAAGTCGCGAAGTCATCAAATTCTTCCCATTAACGTTGATTCTTGGATCTAACGGTGCTGGTAAAACGACTTTAATTGAGTGCTTACGATATGCTGCTACCAATGAATTTCCTCCATTTACGAACAAGGGTAAAACTTGGATTCATGATCTACACTTTGCAAAGGTACTTCATAATTTTTCTATAAATAAGATGTTTATTTTTTTCTGTTTTTTTGCTCCTTTTAACTCTGGGTTTTCATTTCTTTCTAGGGTCATACTAATCGTGGTCAAGTAAAGTTGGCTTTCAAGGATATACACGAAGTAGAATGTGTTATCACTCGTTCTCTGGAACTCACAGCTAAACGTGACAGATCTGGCAAAGTTGTTCCTCAGATGAGAACATTAGATGCCATCATAAAACGTGGAGAAGAAACCATTGTCAGCACTAAATGTGTTCAAATTGATTCGGTTATGCTGGACCTTTTAGGTGTCTCTAAAGCTGTACTATCTGATGTTATATTTTGTCATCAAGAAGATTCTAATTGGCCTCTTAGTGAATCTAAAGTTCTCAAAGAGAAATTTGATCAACTTTTTGGATCCATTGGTTATGTTAAAGCCTTAAAGAGAATCAAAGATGAGCGGACCGAATATTCTAAAAGATTAACACAGTGTGAAGGTGAATCCAAGCTTTTCCAAGAACACAAACACCAGGCTGATAAATATTCTAATGAATTACACAAGAACCAAGCAACACTAGCATCATACAAAGAAAAGATGAATTCTTTAAATCAAGAGATTGGTCCTATCAAGCAGGAACTTGAATCTTTAGCCGTCAAAGAAAAAGCTATGGTGGGTGTTGAAAAGACCATATCTAGCTTACAAGCTCAGTTAGATGAGCAAAAGAAGAGCATTGATTACTTGAAGAAGAATATTCGAGAAATTTTTACCGGTACTAAAGAAGAACTCAAAGACAAAATATCAAATTTCTCAGCGGGTATCAAAACAAAAGATTTCGAGCTTAAAAAGGCTGAAAAAAAGTTGGAGGATTTTGAGGATGTTTTGAAGCAACTTAATACTAAAATCAATCGAATATCTATGTCAAAGGGCAAACTAGAAGCCAGACATGCAAAGTTTACTCAAGACAAAAAGAAATTGAAAAATTATCTTCAAAAACTGCTCAAAGAAGAATCATCGGAATTTGATTCATTGAGTACCTTGGACATCGAAGTAAACACTGATAATGCTTTGGCTACAATCCATACTTCTTTAGATTCACGAAAAGGAAAACTAGAAGATGAAATCCGGGTAACACTCAAAGAATTCGATAATTCAATTAAGGAAATTGATCGACGAATGGATGAACTCAAATCTCAGAAATCTAAGTTGGAGCAATCTATCAAAATCAACAATGATTCTATTAAAGAAAAAACTGATGAAGCTGGTCGAATTGAAATACAATTGAAAGAAATTAGTCAATCATCTTCACAATTGAAGAAACTCGCTGCCCAATTGGAGACAAAAAAAGACGAATTGCGAGAGCTTAATGAAAAGTACGATCTAGTCAACATTCAAAAGGATATTCGCTCGATTTATGCTGAACAGCAAAAACTCAAGGATAAACTTGATGTTCTCTACAAGGAAAAGGATCTTCTTATTGCTCAGAATGAAGCAAGAGCTGTTTTACAAGTTCACTTGAAAACCCAGGAAAAAGAGCAAGATAATTTAGCTACAATTTATTCTGAACATGTTAATCTTTTGCAAGATCTTGGTATTGATGAAAATGACACTGACAAATCTTTCGTTGATGAACTTAAAAACAAGATTCGAGGAGTAGAGAGAAAACTAAAAAACAAAGAAGCTTCCAAAGAATCACTTGTTTCAGATCGGAGAAAGCTGGAAACTCAATTGGAAATGATAAAAATGAAGTTTGAAAATTGTAAGAAAGAGATCAAAGAAAAAGAATCGAAAATCAAAGCAACTTGTGGCTCAGACTCCTTTGAGAACTATTTGATGTCAATCGAATCTGAATTAAAGGCTTTGCGAAGTAAGAGTGCGACTTCGAGTGGAGCAGAAACAATTTTATCTGAATACTCAGTCATCATTGAAAAAGAAGCCAAATGTCCCATATGTGAAACTGATTTAAAAGCTACCCTCTCCAAAGTTAAGAGCAGTTTGACAAAGAAAATTCGTCAACTACCGCAAGAGGCTAAAAAGGTGAACGAAGATTTGGCCAAGATGGAAAAACTTTATGAAAAATTACTTCGGTTAAAAAATGACAATGAAACGGTTAGATCTTCCAAAGAACAGCTTCCAAAATTGAAACAAGAAGTGCTTGATACTCAAAAGAAAGTTGATGACATCTTGAACAAAATACAAGTTGGAGAACGTGAACTCAAAAAAGAAAAGGCTGAACTTGATAGACTCCGAGCAGCAGAACCTCAAGCTATAAGTTATGACAATAGCATCAGATCTCTTCAGGAGGTTGAAAGTCGAATTCAAAAATGTAAAGAAGAACTAGGAGCTGCCGATGATGACTTACGATCTTTGGATGATGTTCGCGAAGAAATAGAGGAACTTTCGGAGGAATTACATCGAACCGAGGAAAAACACAAAACACTTCAAGACGAAAAAGATTTGGCATCCAAACAAATAAATGAACTCAAAGAAGAGATTTTCAATTTGGAAGGTAAAAAATTGAATCTAGAAAAAGGTCAGCAAAGGCAAGTTTCTCTGACTGAAAAATGCTCAGAATTGCAAAAACAAGTAAACTCATTGAAAAAGGATCTCTCCAAATATCATAATGAAATCAAGTCAATTGAACCAAATTTGAAAGAAGTTATTGAAGAAAGAAGAAAATTAGCTGATGAAAAAGATGGAAAAAGAAAACAGTTGGAATCGACTTTAGCTAAATTGAACCGATATCAAGATGATTTTGCTGCCATTGGTGAGGATATATCATCTTATTTGATGGATGATACTGATTCTGAACTACGAGACTTACAAGAAGAGTTAGATCAAATTAAAAAAGATAGCATTAAAGTGCACAATGACAAAACTGATCTCAGCAAAAAATGTCAGGAATACCGTAAAGAAATCAATGAAGCAGAACTGGGAGAAAGAAACTTAAAGGACAACTTGGAGCTTCAAGAAAGACTGGAAAAAGTGACCGAATATGAAGACAAGTTGGAAATAGAAAAAGGTAAACGAGGTGCTGCCGATTCAGTGGCGTTGTTGAAGAAAAGGCAACAATTAGATAAGCAATATCAAGAAAAGTTTCAACTTTTACAGCAAATTAAAGGTAAACAAGAGCCAATTGTTTCTCATATTCAAGATCTGGAAAGAGAATTATCTGCAGATAAATATCGTAAAGCTAAAGATAATTATCAAAGTAAATTAGTAGAAACTGTTGAATTGGAAGCAATTTGCGAAGATTTGAATAAATTGTATCGAGCACTCGACCATTCAGTCATGGTTTTCCATAAAAAGAAGATGGATGAAATCAATCGTTATCTTTACAAGCTGTGGAGACAGGCTTATCGGGGTAATGACATTGATTACATTAAAATTGAATCAGACACTGAAACTGAGAGATCAGCTTCAGATAAAAGGCGTTCATTTAATTATCGTGTTGTCATGGTTCGCAATCGAGTTGAAATGGATATGAGAGGCCGATGTTCAGCTGGACAAAAGGTTATCGCTTCTTTAGTTATCCGTTTGGCTTTGGCTGAAATATTTTCCGTCAATTGTGGAATCTTAGCTCTGGATGAACCAACCACAAATTTGGATAAAGAAAATATTCAAGCATTTGCTGATTCAGTTTCTAATATTGTTAAATTGCATCGTAACCACCGGTTCCAATTGGTTATAATTACTCACGACGATCAGTTTCTAAAATGCCTCCGTGAATCTGAGTGTGAATATTATTATGAAGTCTACAAAGACGATAAAGGTTATTCACGAATCAAGCAACTCTCAATCAGAGAAAGAGATAATTAATTTTTGTTTTATATTTTTCGATTAATAATTGGTTACAAGATTTGAATTAACAACAAAATTTAATAATTGTTAATAATTGTTTTGATTATAAATTTTGTACATAAATATAACATTTTATAATAAATATTGATAAATCACATTAAGTATCGAAAGGCACTTTATTTGACAAATTTAGACAATTGTTGATCATTGGATAGTTGTGGTCTCATTGTAATATCATCTGAATTGGAAGAAATTAAAAAACAGAGTTAATTAAAGATGTCTCGATGAAAGAAAATTGAAAGAGATCAGTTAATTTTCATTAAATAATGTATATTCTGGTGATAACTAAGAACTCTTGTCAATAATTTAAGCTAATTGATGAATAAAACAACTACATTAATCTGATTGAACTGATTCACGCCTTGATCCATTTAAAGATCAATTAATTACTAAGCTTTTGAACCAACAAAACAATTTAAGGAATCAATTTTGATGTTGACATTTTGCAATTGGATTATGCATCGAGTGGAATGTAATGAACAAATATAAGTAAAAATATCGATCATATGATTATAATGTGACAATCATTGAGAAACGATCAAGAACATCACATATTTGTACTAATGTAGAGCTGAGTTGATCATCTTTTCTGTCCTCCAGTTTCAATCATCAACATCTTTTTCGCTGTGCCACTGCACAATGTTAAGTTTCCATGGTGAAAATGATCAGCAAGGGATAATGTGGAAGAAGGTGATGATCAAGATGAACATAAAGGGCTGAAGAATCATAAAAGGATGTATCAAACAAGTAAGATGGAATTTGATGGTGAATAAGTAAAAGGGCAGATCATTAGGCCTTTCCGTTAGCCAACTATTGACAAGAGTGAAAATCAATTGACTTTATGATAGTTGACTGAACATTTCTTCAAAGCCAAAAAAATAACGATAATAAACGATATGTATTAAAAAACATCTACAGCTCAACGATGAAAAGGTTTCACATCAGTTTGGATTTCCTTACATGTTATTGTATCCTGGTTATTTAATCCTTTCTTCATGTATTCATCAAACTCACAAACACTTTCTTTTATCAGATTAACAGCTATTATTCACCATCAGAATCTGTGAGGAAAGAAGCAGAAAAAAAAGTGGATGAGAAAAAAAATGAATGCAAAAAAATTGTGACAAAATGATTGGTGAACAGAAAAAGCTGTTACTTTTGGTTTAGAATGTTTCTTGCGATACTTTCAGAACGTTTAAGATTTATGGATTTTTTTTCTTTAAACATCATCATTTCAGATTCTCTTTTTTTTCTTTATATTGGAATACAAGAAACTTAGGTAAGCTATAGAGACGAAAATAATTTCACTTAGTCTTCAAGCGATAGATTTGTTGAGAGAAAAGGTAATTTCTCACCAAGAATCAACTTGTTTCACTGGCTAAATTCCTTTACCTTTTACTATCATTATCATTATCATCATCATCTGCCTGTGTACCAATTTTGATGTAATCTTGATTCTCTTAGTAGGATAACTTTCCATATCAATCAGCAATTGATAGTTTTATAAATAAAAAATGATCAAACAAAATGAGTTTTGCCTAAACTGATCTGAGATCATAAGCAATGCATTAAAGGCTTTGTTTTTGCTTCTGCTGTAGATTCAATTGATTCTGATTTTTACAAGCTATTATCAGTTGATGTATTACCACTAAAATGAAACGTATCAAAATTTAAATTGATCTAAAATTGAGAGTCAATTTTAATTCTTTAATCTCTCCTGCCAATCGCAAGTCAATATAATGAATGTACTTTTTTCAACTTCCTAATTTTAACTCAAATCCCATTATCTTCCTTTTTGTCTTTCTCCAAAATTGACCTCATTTAGCCTTAAAAAAATAAAAATTGAGTTGCAGGATGAAAATAATGATGATGATGATGATGATGTTGATGGAGGAGGGTGAAAGGAGACAAAGTTTCAAAACCAAGATTATTTATTTTGTATTATTTTGTACTTTTGTTACTTTATTTTGTCTTTTTAAGCTCTACTCTCGATCATCACCATCACAGCATCATCAACGTCAAAATTACCTTAACCTTTTTTTCCCTACTTTTTATCCATTTTCACACATCTTTGTTCTTGCCTTTTCTGGTTTTCTTTGTTTCTCTTGTTTCTCATCGTCAACTCCAAGATTATCAAAATAAATGATAAAATAAATATCAACTCGATCCGTCTCTTGACTTTCCTCCTTATCATCCTGTAAACGCTTTTCACTTTTTTTGGCTGTTCCTTTCGTTGTCGATAAACTTCTGTATCCATTAATGTATATTATGATCCTTACGACAACTAATCAAATTATTTTTGACTTGAATGAATAAGGCAAAGCTCCAGGTTAACATTACGTTATTGCTTGATTCCATTTTAACGAACTTTTGGGTTTTTCCAGATTAAACACAGTTAACATCCAGAAACAAAAAAGTGTACACCATGAACCCATAAGCAGTTTCCATTAAGAGCAAGCCATTTAGAGCATTTCCAATCAATAAGTCCAAATGAGCCAGCCAAATCAATCCAATTAAACCATTATTTCACAATGAAAAATCAAACCAATGTTGATACACAAAAAACTCGTTGTTGCTTGTCCAAGTCATCATCCTACAAGAGACAAAAGAAAAAAAACAATTAATTATGCTTAATAACCATATTAACCAAACTTAACTGATACATACAATAGCAATTGAGAAGAGGCAGATAAAAGCTCTAATAGATTTATACAATGATAAATGGCTAAATCTATTGTTAAAATTAAATCATTGTTAAACTAATGATTACCCAAATGAGTAGCAAAATTAGAGGGAAAACAAAGCAGGATTCACTTGTATCTAATTGTATCGAGTAAATACTATCAATACTTATCGAAATATCTATTACCAAATTTGGCGTGAAATTACAAAAATTGACACAAGTTAATTAATTAACGAACTAAAAGTAATATTAATTAAGATAGTCGCCAGTTGAAAATCAATTTTCGAGAATCAAATTAATAAACATTGATTTAATCTAAAAAAAGGCAAACACAGTTGATGAATACAAATACAAAAAGAAATGGCGAGAGTCAAAAGGGTTCATATATTAATTTACATTATTATCACATTTAATGCAGTTGAAAACAAATTGTTGACAACATATTAACAGGGAAGTGTTAAAAATCTCATTCAAAGCAGCTGTATAAAACAATTAAATTATTATTATCCAGCAAAATAAGATAATTACAGATTGTTATTACTCTAACCATTGCAACTAACAGTCTAATAAAGTTGAAAGAAGCAATATTGCTGGTAATATTTGAGAGGAAGAAAAAAAGTGTCTTGATATTAATTACATGTCAACACTTTGTCACCATCTTTTGGGCTCAGCTTTTTAATCACTTTAATATGATTAATAAAACATCTTTCAAGACTGCTAAGACTTAGTGTGTTGCCTTTTTTCAGTTCAAGTTTAGACAAAAACTAGACTCTATTATCATCATTACAATCACCAACTTCATCCCAATAGTTAGACTCGACATTTTGATACTTTTTCAACATTGAATTGTTTTAATACGTTTTGCCTTTCCATCTTTGTCTCACAATTCATGTTGTAAGATTTGTCAAACAAGACAGTAACATTTATCATTTTTATAAACATGATGCTGAACAGTCGAGTAAAGTTGATGATAATTATAAGTTGAGATCAAAAAGTTAGATTTTCAAGTTTGACTGAACTTAAAAATTGTATCTTGTCAAGGAAAAGGCAACTTTATCGATCACACTTTTATCCAGTCGAGGGTGAAAAATTAGTCTCCAATGCAGGTTCATATCATAAACACTGGTCATCAAGTTATGAATTATTATCAAATAAGAGCACACAATTTTGACTATTTAATGACTAATGTTGATTTGATTCTTATAAACATTTCAGACATTAAACAGTTTGATCCAGAATTTCTCTGTCTTTTTGCTCTTGAATTGGTTTGTGAGTTCAAATCAATAACTAATACTTTCTAAGGTAAAGGTTAAACTAACTAGAGTTTAGTGTGAGATTTACATGGTTGCTTCTGACTCCAAATAAATAGAGCTTTTAAGCCTTCCACAATCATTGATTTACCCCTTGATTAATAATTTGTAAAGAAATTAATCACTGCTATGGGAAAATTAGCCAAACAATTAGCTTATTCCAAGTGATTGCAAAGAGTTCTTTGCATTTGATTCACTTGTTGAAGCTGCAACGATTCAAAATGATGTTTACTTTCAAGTTGTCAACTCATTTTAGGAGCCTTATGAGTGTAAAATTGGTTAAATTGATGGAAAGGATAAAAATGAAACTCAATTTGAATGCATAAATCAATCAAGAGAAACAATGAAGAGTAAAAATTTGTCTTTTCTACAACAATTGATATTCATGATGAAAATGTCATCACGATGAGGAAAAGAAAAAGCAATTGATTTAAATTGTAAGTAGAATCGCAAGAGAATCATTTGTACACACAAATGATATAAAACAATAACAACAACAATAATTGTAATTTGTCTGTTTGGTTTGGTTTACTTGCCTATTGGCAGTAGTCACATGCAGAGTCTGTACTCGATTCAGGTAAGATAATCATTTTTGCTTCTCCAAAATCAAATTCAGTCAAGTAAATCAAATGAAAGTTGATCTCATTCCGACTCTTCTTATACATTCAACCAGATATATAATAATAATACAGAATATAATATCTCTTGAGAATGATAAAAGTTGTCCTTTACTAGGTTTAAGACCTTTACAAAAAAAAGAGCAAGAAGAAGAGCAAAAGCTGAAACTTCATCATTTTCATTCTCATCATCATCATGATAACATTCACATGGGAAAAGTAAAGATGCAATTAATTAGCAGCCGTAATTTGACTTAATAATAGATTCATGAGTTTCGATGATTCGTAAGATGAATATTACTCTCTCAGTGTCAGGCTCATTTGGCTGTTAAGGTAGAGCAAACAGAGCACATGATGATGATGATAATGAAACAAGAAATGAATAGAGTTCAATGCAAAAGGATGAAGAAGCAAAAAAAGATGTAAACTTTCATGTTCAACATTGGAATGAGGTGAAAGTAGAAGAGAGAAAAAAATGTTACAATTATTATGAAATAGATGATAATGATGATGAGATATGGCGATGGAAAAAGCAACGAAAATGAGGTAAAAATGTGATCACAATAATGTTGATAATTTCATCAAAATTTAGTCTCTACTCTTTCTGGATCTTCTTTACCATTCATTTGTTGGTGTTTCACCAAAATGAATGGGAATGAGGAAAATGAATGTTGAACCAAAATTGTACAACACTGTAATCTCACTTTGAATAACATAATGAGCATGTTAATCAAAAAATGATTTAAGCTCGTCTCACAGGTTGTAACATGATAATGTTTTTCCTCTTCTTCATCATCACCTTTCATCATCATTTTCATCATCTTTTTTTCTTCTTACAATTCTTGTTAACCTCAAGAGACTGGGAGTGAATGTTATCATTCCCTGTTATTATCATTATGAGAATTATTTTTATCATTATTACTACAATTCACAGTTTATCTTTTCCAACTTTTCGTCGCTACATTTTTCTCCTTGTTTCGATTCCATTCTTTTTCTCTTTTCTTTGCCTGTTTTGTTTTCCCTTTTCACTCCATGATCATCATCTTTTTTTACTTGAGATGAGTTACAGTTGATCAGTTGAATATGATGAGTAAGATTATGTTAATGATGATGACAAGCTATTAGAATAAAAGTGGATTAGGAAGCAAAAACTGAGAAATGGTAAAGTAAATTAAAGTATTACCATTCAATTATATTGATCAACATTTTTTTCTCGTCTTTTTCGGTTCATTCAACATTCACATTAAATGCTTGAATTTGTACAATTATTAATTACATTGAATCATTTGGTTTATCATAATCTGGGTTTTCAATAAGTTAAGCAAATTTTGGCGCAAAGTTTCGATGAGCTTTGCTCATCAAAATAGAAATTCATGTTCAAATTTTGAATTCACGACTGCAGTGAACTTTGCTGTCGAGTGTGCAAGGGCGATATGTTATTGTATCAAAGCCATCAATATTGTTATTTTTATTGTTCAACTTGAACCAAAATTTAGAGAATTCATTTGCTACGATTAGAGATGCACATTATAGCAGCTATTGATAAATGATAGTAGTAGCAGGAAAGCATACGCTTCAAGCACAGGAAGTCTTGAATAGAGAATATTTTGAGACTATAAATATTAAGCCAGGTAGGTCAGCCCAACCTACCGGGAGGAATTGACTGTCCAACGAATTCTGAGTTTGGGTATAAAAAACCCGATTGGTTTAGAACATGAAGAGCGACCATCGAGAGTGATAATTCGAAACATGATGTCAAAAAGATTATATTGAATAACTCAACTAATCCTCTAATTTCCTTCAAATCGAATCGTTGAGTTCGATTAAATATTCATATGGGTTCGGAACAAAAAGAAAAGCTGTTGATGGCAGAAATTGTGTTGAATAAAGACTGTTTCTTATGAAAGTAAAGGGTGTCAGAAATAAAATGCTTGAAAGGCAGAAATTAGACTAAAAATTATTGGTTTTAGATAATTTTGGGAAAACAAATGAAAACGATTTGTGATAAGATGATTTTCTGCGACATCTTTGAGGAAAAAAATGAAGATTTAATGGCGATTTTTTGAAAATAATTAAATTAGATTAACCAGATGACCAGATCCACAGCTGATCTTTGTTTTGTTTTGATTTCTGGTATTGTTTTGTTTGTCGTTTTTGCTTCGTTTTTGCTTCGTTTTTGCTCCTTTTTTCTGTTGTTGTCTTGTTTTCTTGTCTTTTTTTTGTTGAAATGTATCCAATTGAGGTCAGAATTGCTATTGTTGTTGGTTTTTTAAATCATGAGCTTTATATCACGTCCAAAGCTGAACTCCACCAACTCGTCATCTCTGAAGTGAGAACCAAATTTGATCTGGCTGTTTCTGTTGATACGATAACTCGTTTGGTGCAAAAATTTAGAGAAACTGGGACTATCTTACCAGAAAAACGTAACTATGCTCCTGACCAGTCCTTAGAAAATCGCGTTGTGGCTATGATAACGGAGGATGATACTTTGTCACTGAGAGTAATGACCAATAGATTAGAAACCAATCCAGAGAGAGTCCGCAAGATATTAAAGAAGAAAGGGTATAAGCCATACAAACCAATCGAAGTCCAAAAGCTAACAGCTAGGCAGAAAAATTTAAGACTTGACTTTTGCTTGACTTTGCCATCCAGAAATATTGACTTTAAGCGTATTTGGTTTAGCGATGAAAAGATTTTCCAATTGACTCGAAGAGAGAACCATCAAAACACCAGAAGATGGTGTCTCGAAAGACCTACCTTTTTTAACGAGAATGTTGCACATCCAGTGAGTGTTCACGCTTGGTGTTGTCTGTCTGCTGTCGGTATAATCGGTCACTTTTTTTCGAGAAATCCGTCGACCAATTCGAGTACCAAAGAATGTTAGATTTAGAGTTCATCCCAGCCTTATCGAAATTTGGTGGTCCAGATAGTTTTTGGTTTCAGCAAGATGGTGCTACTTGTCACTGCACTGACTATTCACCAG